AAATAGGGTACTTGGGAGACCAACACTTGCATATGTTGTCTTTTGGGTATCTTGTGGAACGTACTATTCCGCAACTGCAACCGACTCGCCCGGGAAGTACTCTTACGGAGTTTTCCTTCAACACAGGCGGTCTTTTTTTCCTTTGTTTTCTTCGGGATCTACATTCTAGTCAGATTCGTAACATTACCCCTCGGTTCGATTTAGGTAGGTTTCTGAGGTGATCTCTAATGGCGGATGTATATTTTTATGGGGCACTAAGATACTATGCTGATCCTTATCTGTGCTTCGCCCCGGTGAGTGTTGGTATTGTTCTAGCTCGATCCTTATTCTCCTAGTGTTTTTACATCTTAGGAAGCCTTAAGAACTATGCGTAGACGTGCAATATATAGCCTGAGTTGACCTCGTCTTTATTTTGCGTTGAAGCCAGCTTTACTTGAACGCGTTGTGTACATGTTACGAGTACGATAAAGCGGGCATCGATTAAGGAACTTGATAGTCTCCATACTGGCAGAGTGAACAGACCCGGTAACCTTCATTGATGGCAATGCCCGTATCATATAATATCACTCGGTATTGGATTTTGATCGATAAGATACCTAGCCTACAGAGCACATGATACTACTACCTTAAGAAAGTAATATTAGCTGGGATGAAAACTGGTAAGATGATACTTATTTGGGACCGTGCATGAATTATTGAGGTCCTCATCTTTGGTGGCATCAGATGCTCTAGCCCAGATTCTGAAGACAAATTAGCATCTGTTTTAGAACCTTGAACTGCAATCGGTAGCTAATATAGGTATCACTTCAATCCCTAACTGATTGCACCAATAACAGTAACCCTGGATTAGTAGTATTACCCTAGGAAGCCCCCGTCCCAAGAAGCAGAGCCCCTGACCTGGAAGGCGATATCGATATTAAAAGCGGTTCGTCATATCAATTAGTACCTCCCTGTATGCAGTGCGGAGATTCTTGGGTCGGGGACGTATCCAGATTAGACGTGCGTTCAGACAAAGCTTAGACCCCTTTGATTTCTAGAAAGAGCACGGGGGGCATCGCCGTTCACCGATTCATCTTTGTTTTTATGGAAAGATTCTATCTATCCCATCACATGAAGCACAGCAAGCCTCTCTTGAATAAGCTTCGGCAATGTCGATCATTGCAGGAAAAGAGAGCCGTAGGGTATTACCCTGACACTTGCATGCATGAGTGCTCTAGAAGGTATTGAAGCAGCAGCCAGAATTTTTGGTATGACCGACCGGCTGTAGCTTCAATTCCTGTGAAATTAGATCACACCTATTCTAAACTGCTTTTTTCGTTCATGAATTCTGCAGGCACGATAGGCCCTAGTATCCAAGAATCGAATAGCGCAATGTTTTCGTAGCCAGAACCGGGGTACATAAAACGTATATGGTCAGGGTTCGATGGTATATGGCCATATCTAGGAGGTGGGCGCATACGTATGTACCCATATCATTTTTGTAACATTATCATGTAGCAATCGAAAATCGTCGCCGAAAGCCACAAATCGGCTCTGTGATACTTCTTCCTATGCCCGCGCATTGTATGGGGATAGTGTCCGTAATAGTTAAAATGAGTAACTGTCATCTCTGCAGAACTGTTAGTCAGAAACCCATCAACACTGACATAGACTCCGGCAGCATTGACAAAAAAGTGAGCCAGATACATAATAATCCACAACAAGTTTCCTGATTGGAGTTTTCATGAAAGATGAGTACGTATACGTGGATTAACTTAGTCGTCAAATACGATGCCATACCTAGACGAGTTTCTCATCTGAGTTCAGAGCCTTGCACTCTAGTTAAGTAGTGGGGGTACATTCTGAACATCAAATTTCCCGAGCACAGCGATGCTTATAATTGTAGGACCTTGACACTCGGGAGTAGTAGGAGCTGCGGGTGATACAGGAAAGGGGCGCGGCGGGGAAGGAAGTACGGGAAAGTTGACGAGTACGATCTGTTAAAAGCGGTCAATATAAGCCAAGAAAGTTTAAACTTCAGACTAGGACATAAGCTCCGGAGCTCTCAGCAGTATAATACCACGTCCCATTAAGTCTAAGATCTTTTACGAGACAAGAAGGGCGATAGTCTTATTCTCCGCGGTTTAGTAATTGCCGGGTTCTGCCAGCAAATAACCAACAAGGCTCACTAACCAGACCGGATTTAAGCCGCTAGGCGCGCCTCTGTAACGCAGCCCGTGACATGTCACACAATATCGAATTGAAGTCTCCAAGATTCCCCAAAGGTCATTCGGACGGCCAAGGTGCATGCCATTTCCCATAAATTCTCTCCAGCTCTTGTTCCTAAATTCGATATAAAACGTTATCTAGTACTATAGTCTAAGGCTAAGATAAATCCCAAGAGACATAACTTAGATTAATGTTGTCACGTAAGGAAGAGAATGTCATGAGGTAACATAGCTAAATACACCCACAAATTCTTTGTGGAGGCCATTGGTAAGCCACAGAAGATTGTGGTTTGGGATTGGTGAGAGATCACGGTTGACTTTTATGCTTCTAAGGCCCCCACGAAACAAGTCCGTCACCAGCCACATCTTAAGGGATAAGGTGCCTTCAGGGTTAAGCAGGAATATCCGCTCAGAATTCACTTAGTCATCCTTGAGTCATCACCATGCTGAGCAGATCAATTTGGCGTAGTCTTTTCGCCAGCCGCGAATCAGAGGTCGTTACCATCAAAAGCCATTTCTTCTTACCTGCCCCGAGTAGGAGTACGAGCCATAACTCCATTATATAGATCTAGTATGGTGCGCCCAGTCTTAAAGGTGACACGCCGCATATGGAAGTGGAACAATCGTGGCTGCAATCTGACTCCAAAGGCCAATAAGAGGGCCCATTTCTAGCCAGCTTGGTGCCTCACTGCCACGGCTCAGGCAGGTTTGCTTTTTGAGGGTATAAATGGGTATAATACTGTTCCACTCCGTTCACTCTTGGCGCTTTTTACATACAAAAACAGCCAATTTCAATCCCTTATAACTTCATAACCATGATAGATGTCAAAAATCTGTCAAGACAATCTCTTCTTCACCACTATTTCTAGCCTTTCTTTTGACAGATTTTTGATATCTATTGTGGTGGTGGTGGTTATAAGGGATTGAAATTTTGTTACCTTTAAGATCGGGGGCACCATACTATTTGAGCTTCAGGGCGTTGATAAGCGCAGCGCAGCTCCAGTGAACAGACATGTACACACTTACATCATGAGCAATATATGGTTTTTCTAGAGCATTGAATAGACAAATTGAACCGGGGAACACGTAAACTGTGAAAGCATTCCGGCTGGTTAATGAATCTGAGAGAGAATAAATTTGCTAAATAAAACTAACGAAATAGCCCTAAGTCAATATAAACAATCTGGCCAACAGTACATACTTGTTACCTCAATTGATCAAGCCGGGCCATCCACTTTTGAGAGGTCTCTGGCGGTAGACCCGCGCCGGGCCATGGTAGACGGTAGCTACATAGTACTAGTATTGAACTTGCGCTGACCTATATATATTGGTTTCCATTGATGATATATATGAGTGCTGAACCTTTAATCTAACAAACATTTGGCCATACTGTATACCTCTAGATCTAACAGAAGAATAATTCGCATCATCAGATATCACTCGAAATCATGAACCACAGTTCCTTTTCTCCCATTATTCTAGCTGGCGCTAATGTAAGTAGAGGCTTTCACGGGGTATTGTCAATCTCAAATATACGCCGGAGCGATTTATGATACGCAGGGAGCGATCGACTACTTCATTTGGTTTCTACTCAAAATCTTGGAATTAACCACATACCCGTGTTGACCATATACACCCCCGTGAAGGTGTCTAGTACTCATATATCTAAGTATTTTATAGTCGAATCTCTCTATAACGGTACGCCCAGGACCGGGGATTGGTACCCTTATAGGGGATTATTCTTACAGGAAGTACTCATATAGAGAGATTCGACTAAATACTCTAGATATTCTCAAACTCTCTGGCATCTGATTGGTCGAGAGCTGTGACCCCTAACCCTCACTGACTTCTGCATAGCAACCAACCCGCCCCACCAAAATAAATGAGCAATATAGAGTTCATGCACTCATATTTAAAAAGGTCTATATGTTTAATTGAATTTAATGATTTAACTAGGAGCATTGTTAACAACGGGAGCTGGGTGGAGTTCGAGGCTGGAGCGGTGGATTGGGAGGTGGAGGTCGGTGGAGGTTGGTGGAGGAGGTGGAGGAGGTGGAATAGGGTGGGACAGGTGAAAGAGTTGGACGTGTAGGTGGGGTGGAGGGCAACGGGGGCGGAGGTGGTGGAGGGGATGGAGGGGGTGGCAGGTGGAGAACGGTGGAGTGGGAGGGGAAGGTATCGAGGTGGAGTGGGAGGGGAAGGTATCGAGGTGGAAGGGGCCGGAGGAGTTGGGGGGAGGTGAGGAAGGTGGAAGGGGGAAGGGTTGGGGGGGGGGGGAGTTCCCTCCATCAAATGGTTTTTAATATTACTATTTAATTTAATACTCATAATCCAACGTTAACAACTCGCGGTCGCGAGGTGGCACACCTCTAGTATCTAGTATTAAAACCTAAAGGAATTATATAGGATTGCGCCTTACGAAGAAAAACTCAAGACTTTCCAAGGCGGATCATCCCTAAAATCCCTACTTTACAAAATATGCACATAAATTAAATAGATAGGATGAGATCTAATATATTCTTCTTGAATTACTACAAAGAAATCATGTTGAGACAAAAACCAGTAATTATGATACAAAACAAGGCTAACCGCTCTCTATAGAGAAAAGTAAATCGTCATAGTACATAGCTACATGTATACATAATTAAACCCCACCTACATGAAGCCATAGATACAAAACCCCCACGCAGCCACCGCAAACCAACCCCATACATTATTACCACTTACGCCGCCACTCTGCTGTGCCTGAGTTTCGTTTGTCGAGGTTTGATTTGATCCCACATCACCTGCGAGCTATTTACAATCACAGCTCTTACCCACAAGCAAGACAGCTGTATCATGTCTTGCCACCTTCGCCTTATAGCTCTCGCTCACGCATCCCAAATCCTCACCCGTCCACACGTTGGTGACCTGGAAGCACTTACCCTGAGTCTTCAGCTGAGGAACCTCACTCCAAACCGCTACCTTTTCCGTCTCGGTCTCGAGCGTGTTGAGCATCAGCACTAGCGTTCCGTCCTTACTTGCGCCGCTGTAGAACTCGGCGGGGTGTGTGTCATTATAGGTCCAGTCTGGATTGATGCCCCACTTGTAAGGCATCGCTGGTGCACCGTTTACATCGTCTTGGTTGAAAGCAAGTAGGTATTTATTTTTCATGATGGCGAGGTTGTCACTAGAAATAGAGTCTAGGGAAGTGCCAATGAGAAGAGGACTTTTCATTGCTGCCCACAGAGCGAAATGAGAGCGCGTTTCTTCGGGAGTGAGGTCGCCGTTGCCAACTTCAAGCATGTCCTATTGAATTACGGCGTTAGAAGGCAGGGTTTATAGAAGCCGGAAAAGAGAGAGACCTACGGCATCGTTGTGGCCCCAGAAATCTACATAATTGAGTTTAAAGCTGTTGTAATTTATAATGTGGATGACCTCGCTCCATACAGGGAAGATGTCATCAGTCATTCTCCAGCTGTGTCCTATATTTGCTCCGTAGGTCTCGATCTTTGCCTGCCCCCAGTTACAGATAGAGTACAGAATAACTCTGTCCTGTTTCAAAAGCGCTGTAGTCATGCGGGTGTACCTCTCTGCCGTACGGGATTTAGACCAGTCGTATCCCGCCGGTGCAACGCCAGGATCGTTGACACAGGTGCCGTTGGGTCCTGTGGGGTTATTATAATCTGGGTGACAGCCGTGGTATTCATCACCGGTCCAGTATTCGGAGGGAACATCACAGTTATCATATTTGAGATCTACCGGCACGGGATATTAATTTGTGTGCTCCTCTTTGATCAATATTGAAAGTCCAGCTCTTACAGTCAATCCCCCACTCAGCCCATGTTGCCGCATCAATATCCTCATAATAAAGTGACCCGGGATAGCCAGCGCAAGTCGTCTTCCCCGCATCGCTGTAAATACCGATTTTAAGTCCCATGTCGTGGATCTTCTTTGCGGTACCGTCAATGCCATCGGGGAACTTTGTCAAGTCTGGCAGTATACGTTGGGTTGTGTTGTCTCTTCCGGACTTTATGGACCAGCAGTCGTCGACTTGAGGATATGGTCAGTAAGAAGGGGGATAATGACGGAGGAATACAATGCGTACTATTGACATAATTGTAACCAGCCTTTGCAAGCCCAAGGTCAATGAGCTTTTGACCGGCTGTGAGGAATTTCTCCTCGTTGATGTCGCAACGGAAAGCCTGATAGATTTAATTAGTATAGTAATTGACGGAGGGAATCTTTGTTTGTTTGTCTATTTACATTCCAGGAATTCCATCCTAGTGCTGGTAATTTACCCTATTCAATTGTCAATAATCATTTCAGCCTGTAGGGGTGGGTTGAGTTGAACATACAGTTACACCATCTTTACTGACAAGGGCCGAAGCGACAGAAGCTAATAACGAAGCTTGAAGGAACTGTTTGGTATACATCTTGATCGCAAGAAAAGAACAGTAGATTATGATGGAGAATATGATTCAAAACAATGAGGATTCACTTGGCTCTTATACGAGATCGACCCTTGCATCATCTCAAGCCTCTGTGCCTGTTTCGAGTTGTGCTTTTGAAAGAGAGACAAATAGTTTCTGGTTTGGTACCACCTTAACCCTATATTTGGCGATAAAGACAGGCGATGAACATGTACCTACATGTACCTAATGGTAGGGAATGCTTAGCTCCCGTGTTGGTAATGAGGCACAGAAGCCGGTGAGGGCTGGTTGCTGCTGTCGGCACGTGGCGTCGGTGAAATGCCCAGGTGCAGAATCATAGCCTCGTGTAGAGCCTGTGTTTTCTCTTTATGACCGATTGGGTAAGTATTGACTACCGACATGAGTTGAACGCTGCAGCACTCATGAAAAGTATTTCTTGATCACTTACAAAACTCATATTTATGGTGCATACACCTGAACAGTAAGCCGCAGTTGCGATTAAATTCCAAGAGAATTCCAGTGTCAGCTAACTAAGCCTCACGGGTAATTGATACAGGATGTTCCATAGAGCTCGCTACATATAACTACAGCACTTGTTTTGTTTAATATGGCAGTCAGATAGAGCATCAACGAGTCGACTAGCGGTGTTATGCGCCGGCGGTTCCTGCAGCTATTTGAAACGGCTTTAACTTTAAAAGTGCTGACTTTACCCCTGGTCGAAAAACAGATAAAGAAAAAAAGCAAGTCGGAATTATTATCAAAGAAACGCTTGGTACTCTACATACATGCACGGTTTCGAAAACGTCTTTTCAAGACATCTAAGGTACTCTATCGTCCCCTCTCAATTTACGGTACGCTGGCGTGGTGATCGCCTCGCGCCGGAGGCCATACATCGAGCTTCGTTTATTCAATGGAGATTTACACACCATACAGCCGGAATCAGGCATTGAATCGTCACATCACCGGGATATGTTTCCCCTTCCAAAATGCTTGTCTTTAGATCCACAGAAAATCGCACATAACAGGCGTCAGGAGTGTGCGGGGTATTAGGCACAATTGGTAGGGTCGGATTTGCAGCATGTTTAGAGCAACGATCGCTTTTAATTAAGCATTGGGGTGGGCTGTTAATTGAGTTCTCGAAGGGTCACGTAGAGTTCTCCACTTGGTGAAGGCGTGTATTTTGCAAGGCATTTTATGATGCGAAGCTTCTGTTTGACTTTCGGTCACTTTAAGCTCGGCATCGTATATAATTTAGTAACTGATATACTTTAAAATTGTAGGTATGGATTATGGAGTTAATACGGCCTTGATTGCATAGTTGGGGGTGGTAACCTTTGGTTGCCGTATGGGAACTCCATACAAAATCAGAAAAACTCAAATCATGACTTTAAAAATTAGATTGCACACGCCTGAAGAATGGACTCAAAATTCTAGAATTCTGTGAGCTCCGTCTTGAGATAATTTCCAACTGACCTTGAAGAGTTGGAATTTTTTTGGATGAGGTTAGGTGGTTATTTCGGGTAGTCAAACATAGCTACTTTGGCTGTAAAAAGGGTATATTACCAAAACTTCTGTCCTAGTACTACATGTATATCCCATGGACCGTAACGACGTAAAAAGATTCGAAATCGCAACCACACAATATCCTTTGTGTTATCATGGTTAGCCCTTCGACTGTATCTATCAAAATTTAGTGGGGAAAGTGATTTTTTTAATGTGTGTATTGTAGGATGCTTGGATGACAGGTGGTAACAAATCTGAATATGATTGAAAACCCCTTCTTTTTCTATTTTATTTGATGAACTATGGTGATAGGAGTGATTTTTTGCAATAAAAAGTCCGCAACCCGTACAAATTCTGCAGCCATCTTGCTTGAATGCTTTAGATCTGTATGTAGAATGATATTGCCTACTCAGTTAATATATCGAAGTTCACCCTTGGGGTAAAATAGTAGAAATTACAGACGAAAAATATTGTAACTACAGAGAAGTATTATTTGCACTGTGGCGGTACTGAATTACATGATGACGTTACTCCAAAAAATTCTATAGAGCCATATTCTGCATAATTCCCATAAAAATATATAAACAATAATGGTTAATATAAAATGGGAATGCAGCTGTATGGGTCTGTTTTTCTGAAACCAGGAGCATATAGCCCTAAATCAACTATATAAAAAAGAGCTAGTTCTTAGTGGCTGTGGTTGCGAAGTTATTGTGATATATGTGAATTTCCGGTTTTTGTATGGGAAAAAAAGGGTTTACTCTATAAGAGATAAAGCCACCAGGAGGGAGCAAATCATTGATTCTAAACAGTCCCAAAATACCTATCTATGTCACTCTACTAGCTCCCGAAAACAGGCTGATATTGACAAATGTAGTTAGGAAATTTCCCCTACTCATTGTTGTCAATAGGTAAATTAAGGACAAATATGTCCCCAAATCGTTAGGTTACGGTCCATGGGATAATCAAGGTCTGTTGCCGGTCTTCACGGCGGCTATCGTAGAGATACATAGCACAGTACTGAAAACCGTGAACAGACGAGGCAGTACAGGTTCTGAAAACAGAAGAATTATTTAGGGCCCGTTCGGTTGCACCCAAATATCGTGATCTTTGACCTAAAAAGGAATATTCGTTACCAGATACGTTAAGACCCTCTCCCTATTAGGCCAAATATCACGATATCGGGCCCGAAAACAAAAGAGACACAGAGAAAACCCTAACCCAGGCCCTGTGCCCTGTGCAACTACATCGCTTCATCCTGTCTGTCTCGTGATGATTGCCACTCCAACGTCAATAAACTTGCTTGATTTGATCTTAATACAAAAATAGACCCTTTTATAGGCGGGCAGTACATGCAGTAGGCGGGAATAGGGACTGTGGGTGCGTGCGGGTGACGGTTTGTGACCGCACCCACTAGTAGCGTAAACCCTAGGCCCTACCACGAACGTTCAAGGCCAACATCATGGCTTCCTACGATCAACTTGAGCAATCTCAGAAAGCGCCTAACCCTCCAGTTTCAGATATGTCTCCACAGAGCCTACTAGCGAACGCCTTCTGCAAAAGCAACGATGAGGAAGGACCTCACTTCCCGGCTCCCGAGATGATTCTGCAAAACCCGCCGACGGTTTCCCGCGAGGGTCCGTCGAATAGCGCTAAGATTCCGCCGACGGTTTCCCGCGACAAAAGCCCGTCGGGTGGCGTTAATCCGCACCATTTGGTGGCTATGGCAGCTCATGCAATTGGGTCATCCATCCGCCCCGGGACTGACAGAGGGCACGGATCAGTCGGTGATCTTGCATCATGGAATGACCCCGGTGGGATCATTAGCGGCTTGGACCGTGCTACAAACGATGTAACGGCAGCTACGTATTTCGGCTAGGTGATGAACTGGGATGAGGGAAGGAGGTATCGTGTAGTGGAATTAGGATTTGTAATGGGGATTTCTGTTATGTTCTTTGGGTTTCTGTTACGCGAAGGTATTAGTCATCGTTGGATTATGGATGGATATATAAGGGGCTGTTGTCTCGTGCTTTTGCTGTTTTCCTTCTTCTCTTTCTTCCTTACGCAACCTCTGTATTTTATTCCACGAATACTATTCTTTGTTCGTACTACGTCATAGGGCTCCAACCGGTTTATCATACCAGGTAGAGCCACCCATAGTCCATAGTCAAAGTATACCTTTACGTCTACGTCCACGTCTACGTCACTACCTAGGTTGTATTCCTTGGCACCACAGTCTATCGCCTATAGTCCCCGTGATACGTAGGTTGCGTCCTCTATCGCCAACCAATACAACACCATAGCCTACAATGTCGGAACATGTCCATGTCGATTATCAACAACTCAACGATAACCTCCAAAGATTTTTTGAAGCGCATCCACAGGTCGATCATGTTGTCGGAGCTGAAGCTTATGCGCTTCTTCAACAGTGTCAAAATGGTCTTATTCAATATGCAACGGATTTACAGGAGATAGAAGCGGAGGCTGAGAGGGCAAGAAGGATATTTGAACGAGATCTTACTGCTGCCCGAGCTCAACGAACTGCTGTTGAGGTTGTGGCCCCTGACGAAGAACCTATTGGAAACAACGCTCCACCTGTACCTCCAGCGCCACCAGTTACAGGTACCACCTATCGGTCGGAGAAACTCCCAGATCCCGATGTGTTTAGGGGGGATCGTGATCGAGAAAGACTACACTTATTCAAGCAACAAATGAAAATTAAGTTACTGGGAAATATCGATCGCTATCCTACACTACAGTCTAAGTTATCGTACGCGTTCAGCAGATTGGAAGGTGCTGCTGCCAATCAGTTTTTACAGTACATGGGAGAAGAAGGTATTGCCTTACCTTCTATGACACGGTTTTATGAGATTCTGGATACAGCTTTTGGAGACCCCGATCGAATGCGTACAGCTAGAAGAAATCTTCGGAACATCAGACAACGCACTCGAACCTTTGCCGATTATTTTGCTGAATTTCAACGGTATGCTGCTGAGTCGGGTATGGATGAAGTCTCTCGGATTGAGGCTTTGATGGAAGGAATTAATGGGGAACTGGACGAATCGATGATACACCATGAGACTCCTGCAACGGTAGATGGTTGTGCAACACTCTTGCAACGGTTGGATAACCGACGACGGGCGGCGGAAGCTAAGCGAGGTAGTAAAAAACCTTGGACTACTACTGCGACCCCGGCTCCGCGTCCTCCACCAACAAATCCTGTTCCTGCTCCCCGTCCTGCTGCCCCTGCTGCCAACCCACCTGTCACTGAGAATCACCCCTCGTTCCGTCCTGGAGGTGATGTACCCATGGACCTGTCTGGAGGACGTCGTCGCCCTACCCCTGCCGAAAGAAACGCCCGATTAGCTGAGGGTCGATGTTTCTATTGCGGAGGTGTCGGGCATATGGTTAGAAATTGCCCCCAAGCGAGGGCAACTGGAAATCAACCAAGGAGGCCTGTGATGAGAGGAGCGGCGTTGACAGTGGAAGAAAACGATGGAAGCGATAATGAGTCGGCAAAAGATTTGTCCCTGCACTAAGTGGCTTAGCCCAGGGACCGTTTAAGGATTTTTTTAGGATGTGTATTTCTGGTTTTTCGGTATCAGAGGAGGAAATGGATGGAAATCAACTTGTAGTAACTTGTTCGATTTCACAGAATAAAAATTCGTTTATACCTACCTACGCCCTTATTGATACCGGAGCATCAGGATATGCTTTTATTGATGAATCCTTTGCACGCCACAACAATCTTACAATGACCCCCCTTAAAATACCTCGCCATGTAGACGTTATAGACGGAAGGCCTATTAAGTCAGGAAAAATTACCCATATTGTCGATGTCTCGCTAGACATTCATGGTCATCGGGAAACGGCGCCATGTTTTGTAACGAAGTTAGGACACTATCCGATTGTGATGGGGATACCTTGGATGCGACGACATGATGTTACGATTCGACCAAAAGAAAATCTACTTGTTTTTGACTCTCGAAGCTGTTGTCAACACTGTTCACTCAGTGGAACTGCAGTTATTGTTCATGGTATCTCGATCCCCTTACCGGAACACCATACAGTCATCGTTTCAGCAACCGAGAAATCCACTATCGATATCGAACAATTAGTACCGAAAGAATTTCACCATCGTCTTCACATGTTCAAAGAATATGATGCTTCAATTCTCCCACCACATCGACCATCCCATGACATCGAGATAGTATTAGAGGAAGACAAACGACCACCATATGGACCTATATATGGATTATCTCAAATTGAGTTAAAAGCACTACGAGAATATCTTGATGAAAATTTACCCAAGGGATTTATTCGAGCCAGTGAATCACCAGCAGGAGCACCCATACTGTTTGTGAAGAAAAGCGATGGAACCCTTCGACTTTGTGTTGACTATCGAGGCCTAAATGCGATTACAATCAAAAATCGATATCCATTACCATTGTTGAAAGAAACCCTGGCTAAATTGTCAAGAGCACAATACTATACTAAGTTGGATTTACGATGGGGATATAATCAAATCAGGATAGCGGAGGGAGATGAATGGAAAACAGCATTCCGGACTCGATATGGACATTTCGAATATACAGTAATGCCGTTTGGATTAGCTAATGCCCCTGCCACATTTCAGCATTGGATCAATGATATTCTACGTCCCTACCTCGATCAATTCGTAACAGCATACTTAGACGATATCCTTATCTATTCCGAGACCCTATCAGAACATAAAGAACATATTCAGAAGGTTCTAAAGGTACTTGATGAAAATCATGTTCACCTTAAACCTGAAAAATGTGAATTTATGGTTCAGGAAACAAAATAGCTTGGTTTAATCCTTACTCCGAATGGGAATAGAATGGATCCAAAGAAAGTTATCGATGTTTTGGAATGGACTACACCGACAAACCTTCGTGATGTTCAAGTATTCCTAGGATTTGCAAATTTCTACCGACGGTTTATTTTGGGATATTCGAAAATTGTTGCCCCGCTTACAGCCTTGACAAAGAAAAATGTTAAATTTGAATGGACGGATGAAAGGGAGGAAGCATTTCAGACTTTGAAAAAGATGTTTACAACGGCACCGATACTAGCTCATTTCAATCCAGATCGAAAAATTGTGATAGAAACTGATGCATCCGACTATGTTTCAGCAGGAATCCTATCTCAACGTGACAACGAAGGAATCCTACATCCAGTTGCTTTCTTTTCCAAGAAACACTCTCCCGCAGAATGCAACTACGAAATCTATGACAAAGAACTTTTAGCAATTATACGATGTTTTGAAGAATGGCGACATCATCTGGAGGGAGCTCAATTTCCAATTGAAGTTCTTAGCGACCATCGGAATCTTGAGTATTTTATGACAACAAAATTGTTAAATCGTCGACAAGCCCGTTGGTCCGAATTTCTTTCACGCTTCGATTTCGTTATACAATTTCGGCCAGGAAAACAAGGAACAAAACCAGATGCATTGACTAGGAGGTCAGGTGACCTACCTAAAGAGGGGGATGAACGGTTAACGCATCAGAGTCAAGTGATTCTGAAGCGAAAAAATTTGGATACCAAGCTAAGTTTGTTCGCGGGTTCTTTGTCAAATGAATCCGCTGAAGGAGCGTCCACTGTAGAGGAGTTATTTTCAAAAGCTTACCAAGTGGATAGTTTCCCAAACAAGGTCCTCAATATGATTCGGAATGGCATATGCCACTCAAACAAAATCTCACTTGCCGAATGTATGGAAGATAACAACGGTCGGCTGCTTTATCGAGGCATGCTATATGTACCAGACGACGATGACCTTCGACTAAGGCTTTTAAAAGAATATCATGACAAACCATCTGCAGGACATCCGGGTAGAGCGAAGACTCTGGAGCTCCTAAGTCGAGAATATTACTGGCCACAGATGCGGAAGTTTGTCGATCAGTATATTAGGAATTGCAATGTGTGCACCCGTAGCAAGGCATCACACAATGCACCTTATGGAGTACTTCGCCCCATGCCAATTCCCGATGGACCCTGGACAGATGTCTCGATGGACTTTGTGACTGATCTTCCTGAGAGTGATGGGTATAATGCGATTTTGGTCGTGGTGGATAGACTAACCAAAATGCGGCATCTGATACCAACGACAAAGGAGGCGGACTCACAGGAAGTAGCAAGGCTATATATTGATAACGTCTGGAAGCTGCATGGATTACCCGACACTATGGTATCCGATCGAGGAACACAGTTCGTCGCGGAATTCTGGAGGTCCCTTTGTGATCGATTGGAAATCTCGCCAAAGTTCTCTACTGCATTCCACCCCCAAACAGATGGACAGACAGAAAGAATTAATGCCATAATGGAACAATACCTCCGAAGCTATGTTTCCTATCAACAAGATGACTGGGTCCGATGGCTACCGATGGCTGAATTTGCAACCAACAACCACGTTTCCGAAACAACAAAAGTTTCCCCCTTTTATGCTAATTCGGGAAGTAATCCTAGGATAACATTTGGGCCTTTGGAACATGGTCGAACGACGGCGGAGGATCAAGCGAACCGTATTGCAAGGGAAATGAAGGATGTGGTGGACTTCCTAAGAGAAGAAATGTTCCGGGCGCAAAGGATACAAGAAGAATCAGCCAATAGGAATCGAACTCCAGCTCCTCGATATTATTTAGGAGATAAGGTTTTTCTATCGACCCGTCATATTCTAACAAAGCGACCCTCTAAGAAATTCGACTGGAAACGTATTGGACCTTATAGCGTTAAACGAATCGTTAATCCCTATGCTTACGAGTTGGAACTTCCCCGGTCGATGAAAATTCATCCAGTATTTCATGTTTCGTTATTGTCACCTGAAGCAAATGATCCTTTACCAGGACAACAACGATTACCACCACCTCCGGTTGAAATCGAAGGGGAGGAAGAATGGGAAGTCGAAGATATTTTGGATTCGAGGAAACGAAGAGGAAGATTTGAATATTTGGTACGATATATGGGATATGACGAAGCCTCCTGGCAACCGCTATCGGACCTTGAACATTCACCTGAAATTATTAGACGATTCCATGAGCGTTATCCAGAGAAGCCTAAGCCTACCAGGAGGTAGGCCTTAGAGGGGGGCGTGGTCTGTAACGGCAGCTACGTATTTCGGCTAGGTGATGAACTGGGATGAGGGAAGGAGGTATCGTGTAGTGGAATTAGGATTTGTAATGGGGATTTCTGTTATGTTCTTTGGGTTTCTGTTACGCGAAGGTATTAGTCATCGTTGGATTATGGATGGATATATAAGGGGCTGTTGTCTCGTGCTTTTGTCTGTTTTCCTTCTTCTCTTTCTTCCTTACGCAACCTCTGTATTTTATTCCACGAATACTATTCTTTGTTCGCACTACGTCATAGGGCTCCAACCGGTTTATCATACCAGGTAGAGCCACCCATAGTCCATAGTCAAAGTATACCTTTACGTCTACGTCCACGTCTACGTCACTACCTAGGTTGTATTCCTTGGCACCACAGTCTATCGCCTATAGTCCCCGTGATAAACGAGCGGACATTTCCAATTCTAGAAGCCTTTGTGTGTGTGTGTGTGTGAAGTCATTTGAATTGTTTCTAGGTACAATCATCGCATGCAGTATAAACTATGGCGTAAAGACCTATCCCCAATGCCAGTTCCCCCAGTTATAGTAACTATGGTATGCTACCAACCGCACTCCTCCTACAAGGTTGATGACTAAGGAAACCCCCGCCTAAGAAAAAATAAAAAGAGAAAATAACGACGATCAACATGAAAACAAAAACAAAAGGAAAGCTAACATTGCACCGCTCCAGGAAAAGACCCGAATCCTCGCGCCTAACGGAGGGGGTTGAGGTGGCGACTGGATTGAATAGGTGAGGCCCCCGTGGGGAACCAAAGTGGGTAGAGGGTTGGGTTAGGGCCCTGTATGAAAGGACCCCCAGTGAGGGTGGGTTTCGTCAGTGAAGAGAAGGCCCGGTGGTTGAGGTTGATAAAGGCTAACCAAGCCATCATGCGAAATGTCTCTTGTTTTCATATGACCCGAGTCATGGGAGGAAAAGGATCGAAGCGACCAGTCTTGGCAAAAGGAAGCCAAAGAAAGGTCTTTATTAAAGAGGATCCCCGCACTTCGTCAAGTCTTGGCGGAGTTGAGAAGGGGTTGTCGGTTGCTTGAGAGGATGTCCAATTCTAGAAGCCTTTGCATCTCTTTGTGTATGGAAGTCCAAGGCTCAAGTGATTGCTGTATCCCTGCAGAAAGATGATATTCGGAGACAGGTATGCCTGACGATTGCGGAAAATGGTGGGGTTGACCACAAGACAATATCCCATGTTAAGGATATCTGGGGAATCCTTAAAGAGCTATCGGATCAGTATGCCAATGAAAGAAATAAGAAAGCAGATCATGGAAAATGGAATGGATGGACCGGAGATCCTCCAGACGCGCCCAAGGGAGTTGGGAATAAGCACAAGCAGATGCTGATTCGCAAAATCTATACGTTCTCGATGTTAAAAAACAGAACACGTATTGATAGATGGTGGAAACGTCTCCATGATTTTGCTAATCGATTTCAGGCTAGTAAGACCGCACATGAGACTACTGAGTATATGGAAGACTTTCACATTGGGGTCAACATGTTGGGTAGCGCGGTTCCATTACTACAGAGCTCTGCTAGGTCCGAGGAGGACTGGATACATATTGTACGCTATATGAGCGCTGCAACGATCTGTCTCCAGCCATTGCTTAAGAACCAGGTGTTGTGTGAGTCATGGGCTAGCGAGTGTAAAGGTTAGTGAACCAACCAATCATCCTGTTGTGCTCTTAGGTCTTAAAAGTTGAACGTCTTGCTTTCTGACTCCGTAACTCAGAGGGGGGCCAGGAGCCGTTCCGTTTACGCCGGGCACTTGAGAAGCTGACAAGCTAACACCGTCACACACAAACTCTCATAGACTTCGCCAACTCCCCTCGTCTTCGATCCGTATTCGAGTATACTTTGACAGTGAAGGCGGTGCCTGCATCAACATGCACGGTGATGCTACCCACGTCAGTACCTGATTGGAAGCTTGTCCTCAACAGCGTCTGCCACGGGAGCAATTTTCAAAGCGACTTCTTGGAAAGCGAATCTCTTGCACTGTCGAATGCATATCCTAAAGCTGCTCAAGAATGCGTTGTCCATAGTGAATGCAGTCTAATTGGGTTTCTTGAATCCAAGCACGGTGATGATTGGGATAACATCCCTGCCCTCGGCTTCATTGGGGTTTCTAAACTAAGCTGTCGCCCAGGCTATAACTGGGTTGAGAAATTCAATACCCTTGGCGGACGGCGATATATTACTAAAGGGACCCATGGCAAGTATTACTGGCCATGGGCCATGCCAACCCTTCAAGACCCCACGCTTGACATCCGTTTAGCAGCAGCCTTTGTGGAATCTGTGCGTTCTAGTTATATGAAGTTTTATGTCCTCTTAGGCAAGCTTCGTATCCCGACAGACAGTACCGACGCCTTGTTGCGGAGCGCAACAGCATATACGGAAGATGATTTGGTGGATGCGATCCTACGCTCACGTAGGGAGTTTAAGGAAAGGCTTATGCTTATAGGCTTGTAGAGCCGGATGTGTAGTAGGGCCCCCTTTGAAAGCTCTCTTCTTTACTTAGTAGTTAGTTAAAGATTTTTTCCTGGGTACGCGTTGTAGTCCAGCAATTATAAGCCATCTAAAGGGCAGAGAGAACGAATAGCGAGATGATATCTAGATCGCTATCAAGGACTACCATAAGTCTCCAAAGCCCTCCATATGCACCCACAAAGCCACACCCACCAACCTGCAAGGGTAGTGAGAAGCTGTTCGGTAGGCCATTAATACTGGATAACTAGTAGTGGCCCACCTCGCGACCGCGAGTTCTTACTTCCACCTGAAAATCTCTTCCATCTACATTTAGTACTACTTCCCGCGGCCAGCTCCAGTAATTAATTATAACATTGCCCTTAGCCAGCTCTCGCAGTTGGCCATGGCCAGCTCCAGTAATTGGCCAGCTCCAGTACTTGGCCACCTCCTCCGGTAGTGGCCCATTTAAACTTGGTATATCAGTTACGGTTTCCGGCGGGGTTTGGTGCTCTCATGATCAGCCTGGTACAAATATTACTCCCTCTTGCTTTCCAACTCTAAGCCTTCTCATGTAAATTTAATTAATAGGCTACCTCCCGTAGTATAATTGATCCCCTCATACTAAGTTAATACCGGGTATGCTAGTACTATCATGTTAGTAGCCCGCTCTCTGGGAGGGTTGCTAGGGTTAGGGTTATATGCTCCCGACCAGTACCTAGATGATGTGCCCTAAACTTCTCACGCTAATGCATGAGAGAGATTTCGCAAAATGTCTCTTGGATTTAGAATCATCTATTCGGTTATCATGGACCTACTACTATTCGAATTCTATTGGTTTCTTGCTCTTGATTTAATCGACAGCAAACTCTATTGCTATCCAAAACTTCCAATCAATGTAATGCTTGTTGCGGGCGACTATATCTGACCTTGTTCGACTTGGAACTCCCTCCAGTATTAATTTGTTAAAGATCCAACTGGATTTGGTTATTTATCCAAGTGCCAGTATATCAGGATAAATATTACTCCTGTCGTCTCCACCTACTAAGGGCTTCGGTCTCATCTGACTCAAACGTAATAGGACAAACCTCGCGCGTATCCAGGATCTGGCTGTTTGGACAATACTGGCAGTTTTCTTCTTCTGAAGATTTCCAATCGGGTCAAACTCACAATCATAGTACTTATTACTAGCAGTGGAGGGGACTCGCGACCGCGAGTTGCTGGTTTGATCCTTTTACTCCAATTAATTTCTGTCTTCCTGAATGACCGCAGTTGCGCATGTCCAGTCCAAGATCGCCCCCCCCCCCCCGGCCCCCCTCCCCCGCCAGTGAAGAGACCTCTTGATCTTTTTCGAACCGTTCCCAGTTGATGAATACACATACCCAGATAGAACATGTCTCTACCCCGTTAATAAATAGCTTTTGATACCCCGTTGATGATGATTGCTCTCTCTATATACATATTCCTATTGAGGATATCTTAATACTCTGTAAATGTTTATTCAGTCTCCGCAGGTAAAGAAAAGAAAGACATTCACAAATTTGATATACCGTTTAAATTTGGGGGTGGCATTTTGGGGGTGAGCTGGTTGCTATGCAGGGTCAGGGTTTCGCTCTCGACCAATCAGAAGGCGAGTAGGTTCGCAGAATTAAGGGCAGTACATATTAGAAGATTACCGCACGCTACTGATCTGAGGTAAAAATGGCGTCGTAAAGTACATACTTGAAGTATTGTGTGTATATTGAATGTAAAGGGTGAGCTGTGATTACACCAGAGTGGGTACCTCAATATTTGGTGAGAATCGAAGAACCAAATTAAGGCGAGATGTTGAAACCGTGATCATCGTGATGATTCGTTTGAAGAACTGCACTGGTCCGATTATAGCTCTGTATATACACGTAATGTGGCAAGGTTTGAGTTTTGCGTTTGTAATTAGTATATCGCTTCTTGAAAGCAGATTTGGATATATATATGAACATAGAAATTGTTTTATTCAAAGCTCAGATCCGCACAAACCCGGGCCACATCTTTCCTGTACTTCTAAGCCTAAAGACTGCTAACAGTTTTTGTTGGAATCTCTTCCTGCAACAGGCACAATTACCTTCATCCCGTATCAAAATTTCTCTTATTTCATCAGTTCCATTCAAAGTTTCCCCATAGGCATCCGCATTTAGTGTGGTATCATATCGCCGGGTGAGGCCTCCCAAGAGTTCAACCAACATCCCCCGACCAGATTGCTTATCCAACATCGCTGCGGTAGGCCCATACTCGTAGATCTTGTCCAGGCGGCAGCCCCTCCCCACCAGTAGCTCAACGACACTAACATATCCAAGCACCACGGCGAACTGGACCGCGGTCATGCGCATGGATGCGGGGCTGTTTGCATCGATGTTTGCTCCGTGATTTAGTAGTAGTCCAGCAATCTCATGGTTCCCCAAGAGCGCCGCGCACTGGAGTGCGGTCACCTCACATTCTGTGTCGACCTGGTCAATGCATGCTCCGTTCTCGAGGAGCATCAAGGTGATATGATCGTTACCGGCGAGGACCGCAGAGTGGAGCGGGGTTATACCCCATTTGTCTGCGGTGTTGACGCTGGCACCCCGGGCGAGGAGTACTTGGACCAAGTCGATTCGTTGATGTGCGGAAGCCCAATGGAGAACAGTACGGTTACGGTAGTGCATTAGATTGTGATTTACTGCGCGTTCCAGCAGTACTGGAGAGAGTAGCTTAGCCAGGCGTGGGGATGTCTGGAGGAAACAGTTGAGGTCGTCGACCTCGAGGTCATCGGCAATTCGGAGTATGATTTCAATTGGGAAATCGAAGAATGCCATACGCGTACACGTACGTTTACGAGGTATATGCTCTGTGAGTGGTGGGACTTTCTTGACCGTCCGAGAGATTTTTAGCTTCAAGAATCCTCCCCTAAGGAAGGTCTTTTTCGTGCACTTAGGGGTTTCCTTCTCAACGGAACTCGAGGGTTTACGGTTGAAGAATCTCTTGAAACCTGAGGGCGGCATTTTAGGTTTAGCAAGAAAACGTAAAGTATATATATTAATTCGATTGAAGTTGATTCGCTGTCCTCAGATGAGTGCATGGCATAGCGGGGCCGTATGAGGACAGCTTAAATATTACTCGCGGTTAGCTGGTAGACGCGATTATTACGTACAGCGGAGATATTATGTCCGATCAGATCTTGTAGATGTTGTCATAACTCCCCAGAGACTGAGCTAGTGTTTGTTGAACAGCGGAGATGCATAGACATGTACGTAAATATAATAGGTACGCCAAGCGTAACCAAGTGATTCAAACCCAAACACAGGGAATCACTCGATCGGCTAGAAACTACTCAGCCAAATTAAACGTGCATTAATTCTTCTTTGAAAGTAGCAAATAGGCCGGGCCTCCAATTCCAGTCGTTGAACTGACTGAAATTTCTGCAGACAAGACTGGATTGGGTGGGTGTGGGATCTATCATCTATGTATTTACATATTCGCTTGCATGCGTACGAGGTGTTGGTTGAACCTTGTTTCCCAGCTTCTGTACCTGAGCCTTTTCCTTTTGTACTCGTCGGCGGCAGGCCAGATTATCGGTTCTCGCATGGCTCGCTTGGTGCTGGGATACGTTTATATTAAGCTGACTTTTTACTTACTAAGAGAGCGGCTGAGCGGATTTTTATAAGGTCTATCGGGGGTCTTACCTACAAATGTTTTTCTATCACCCGAGCTCATAATCAAGGACTTACTGGTATTTTAATCACATCTAACCAATGGTACCAAGAATACAATCAAGGTCCTAATGCCAAGGATTCTCTCCATCAATTACCAGAACACTGTTCGAAAGGACTTTACGTTTGTGTGTAAATCTGAATAGAGCTAGAATACAGCACGTACTGCTGCAGAATTATCAGGTAAATAACATTTTCTCTATTAGAGTATATTCTGAACAAGCTCAAGTGTTATTGCCAGTATGCTGATCCATCATTTGTTGATCCGCAGCGAGAGCATCATCATATGTGGTGCTCCCTTGCTGTAGAGAACATAGCACGAAAGACCACCAGTCAATAAAAAGACTGATCACATTGGAATCGATATACTCCTATGCTTAATGGTATACATTCAGTATCTATCTAGCTCGTAACAGACGTTGCCGATAACCTAATGCAACAAGCACCACAGGAGGTTAACCGTGGAACTTTTCACCACCTACCATAAAGGACCATTGTTTCCCAACACTTGTCTAATTGCAAGATGACCTCGTCACTTGTATTCGCACATGACATGGTGGACCTGTATATTAGATGTCATCGGATCTCCAGCAGATTTGCTGTAGTCCTTTCTATAGTGCTAGATGCATTGATGATTATAAGGAGAGTGGAGAACTCCATCGATGGGACGGTGCCGGAGGTATGGTGAAATCGTTTTCTAGTCTCACTACTCCCACTAATAAAAGATGATAGAGTTAGCAGCTGATAGGTCTGGTAATAGAAGAAGCTTTATGCCCAATGGATGCTGGGACGATAGTATTGGCTGTGGGCCGGTGCTAAAAGCACAACTTATCCCTTACGTTATGTACATTAATATCAGGACTAGCTGGGAGTTAACCGGAATACTTTGTACCGCCTTCAAAAAGGTGAAACATTCTGTCTTATCGTGCTGAAGGTATGAAAATATTTCCAATCTCACAGTTTAAGCTAACCACGATAATAAACCAGCCATTAAGGTTGACCGGAATGCTCCATGTTCGCTTCAGAGTCGTGGAGTATGGAGCGGTAAATGTGTCAAAAGTAATTTTACCAACGGTAGTAAATTATTTACCACCGGTGGTATAAGCACTGAATTTCAGTCATTGTGTCTGCACGCTATCCTACATTAGTACATTTCCACCGGTATAAACACTGGGTTTCGGTCTTTATGCTGCGCTATACTAAATAAGTAAATGTTCAATCATTAATGCCAAAACTTATGAAAACTTCCCACCGGTGGTGAAATTCCCCACCGGTGGACAATTTTCATATATATTGGCATTATAAGGCCCCTTTTGGCCAAAAGGTCTGTGCTTTTATCATAAAAGTTAGAATTATAGGGTATAAATAATGGTATTATTTTCACCACCGGTGGTAAAATAATTTACTACCGTTGGTAAAATTACTTTTGACACATTTACCGCCCCATAGTGGAGGACCACCAGTTTTCGGTACTGGAGCTTGAAAGACGCCTCCGCCGTAGTAGTGTTACTGTCTGCCAGGACACAGATCAATAGGAGCAAAAGTACAGATATATAGTAAAATATATTCCCAATTTCACCATCTCCGCTATAAATTGAAAGTGATAAAAAGCGCCTATCGTTTCAACAGGATTTCCGAAATCCCACGCCTTCTCCAGGCAGGCCACTGTGAGAAGGGCGGTGATCCACTACGGCCACCCTGCATCAGGAAAATTAGCTTGTGGTGATATAATGGAAAGCTTGCTGACACGGGTGGCCTGCTGCTATTGAAGCCTGTTATGTGTGCATGGGGCGGGATCGACGAAACCGGGCAGAAATGCACCTTTTCCATTGGATATGAATACCACCACAGTTTGTGTCTTTTCCAAAATCTAGGAGGTTAACCGGAACGCTTTGAATAATATTTTTGCTCTTTTATGGGTGTTATCAAATAAGTCCCGAAATTTGATGAAACAGTTTGTACAGTGGGCTTCGGAAAAGCCAAGGGCAAGATTTGGGGGGCGTTGTTCGCAATGTTTTCATTGCTACAGGTTGTTCCGCGGCTCGCATTATGGGTGCAGCCGAAGTAGCGAAAGTGTATATATGGAGGAGAAGATGAGAATCGTGAGGGAGAAATGGGGAAGGAAGGCGCTCGATTAGGAGTACTGGATGGAATATCCGAGATAGATATCGTATATGGATGTTCTGGTAATTTAATGGAAGGTTCGATAGCACTCTAAAAGACCATCTTTATAGTACTACGCCATACATGTTTCTAATTTCTTTGAACTAAGACGAGCAAGCCTACGAGTAAGCTAGAGAGAGCTCTGCCAAAAGAATACGATCTTTCTCAATCAATGATGAATTGGTCTTAACTACATTTCAAATTTTCTCCACGCCACCCATCTATCAAGCTGTGGTAATTAATACAGCCAACGTATCGTGGCTTGCCACACTTGCACTGTAGCTGCCCGTAAAAGCCCCCAAATCTGACCCGGTCCACATATCATGCACCTTGTAGCTTACCCCCGCCGCCAAACCCGGCACTTCGCTAAAGGTAATCGTTCTAGACGATGCAGCGCTGGTGAAGTTGATGATAAAGACATGGTAACCCTTTGAGCTCTGGCCACTGTAATACTCCGGGGGACTGGTAACCTTGTATTGTTTTGCTGCGGCGCCGTAGGTGGCATCTTGGTGGAAGGCGAGAAGTTCCGTGTTTTTGATGACAGCGAGTTCGGCGGCGGTGAGGGCGGAGAGCTAGATACGCATGTAAGTATTGATGAGTTTGGAGACATGCTGACTGTCGCTTACATCAGTTCCGAGTAGTATGGGACTTTTCATGAATGCCCAGGCTGCAAAGTGCGTTCTGATTTCGGCGATGGTCAAGTCTCTGGGTGTACGGAATTAGTTGTGGATACGTAGTAATAAGAACTGGATGATACAAACCCGTTGCCAATCTCTGTAAGTTTGGAATTCGTATGTTAGCATTGGATCACAAAAAATGATTCGGCCCTCAATTGGGTAGTTCTAACCCATCATATCTATTATTTATCAGCAAAAGTTCCTAGTAATAGAGAGAAAGTGGGGACCAAACCCATATCGTTATGTCCCTACATTCCAAGATCAGCACAACCCTCATAGCATTACTACATGTAGTAAGGCTTTTACTTACATAAAATCCCACATAGTCCAGGTAGTTCGCATTGTTGGTGATTGCCGATTGGATATATGACCAAGTCTCGCTGGAGTCTCCGGTCATTCTCCACGAGTGCCCCTACCAAACATGTTAGAGAAATAAACTTTATTTATTTATTTATCTTTCTTTCTCTTTGTGGGGACTGGGGCGTCGTACGACTTGTGGGCCCCAAGTCCATACTTGTGCGTTACCCCAGTTGCAGATCGCATATTGGATTGGTCTTGAAACGGCGCTCAATGCAGTTCTGAGTACGAATCTATTAGTGAGGTGTTTCGGAGGAGAAGGTATCACTCACGTCATGCGTTTGTATCTCTCGTATGATTTGGAGAGAGTCCAGTCGGCGTAATTCTAAGCCATATTAGCATTCCGCAGGGTTAAACCTAGCAAAAGATGTATACCCCGGAATCGTTCCACTCGCTGGGGACATTGCAGTTGTCGTATTTCAGGTCTGAGGCGTGTCAGAATGCACTAAGTTCAACCGAAATTTTCAGGGAGGTTATAGATACAATCAATTCCCCATCCCGAGAATGTTTCAGCATCAACAGTCTCATAGTTCAACGATCCCGGGAAGCCTTTGAAAATCAGTTTATTTCTTCAATTGATCAGTTTGGAATTGAATCTTAGTTACTTACCGCTGCAGGTAGTAAGGCCGGCATCAGAGTAGATCCCAATTTTAAGCCCAAGGTTGTGGATGGTTGTTGCGAGTCCGCTTATGCCGTTGGGGAACTTTGTTGCATCCGGGACCATTTTACCATCAACACGAGCCATCTGCGCCCAGCAATCGTCGATGTTGACTATTTATTGTATGAGAACTCGCACATAACCCTTGTAGTATAAAAGTCATCAACATACCGTACTCGTAGCCGAGATCTTTGAGGCCGAGTGAAATGAAGGCATTGGCTGCATTGAGAATCTTTGTTTCATTGATATCTGTTCAGGTCAGCAGACTGTTTCAATAGGATTGGAGCTGAACGTACCTCCTCCATAGGCATTCCAAGTGTTCCATCCTAGCGCTGGAAGTTTCCCAACTTCTTTTCTTGGACCTCCACTAGCCACTGCCGCGGATGAGGATGTAGTGCTACTAACGGTTGTAGTTGTGGTAGTTCTTGTTGAAGAAGACGTGACTACTACAGTGGAACTTGAGGAAGACCGTGTCGTTGTTGTAGAAGCCACCGTTGTCGTCACAGCAGTGGAGGTCGACGGAATGCACTATGAACAATTGTTTCAGCTCATCATTGGCTATAACATTGGAGCTGCATTATTTCTCTACCTGGGAGTAATAATCATTCAAATAACTGCAAGTATAGCCCGTGACACAAGTGGTAGCGCCGGTCCAGCTAACACCGCCTTCAATATAAGCATTAGTATTAGAGTATACATGTAATTATCTCACTCAACAATTCAGGCCCAGAGAACAAGAAACTGACCACATTGCGCCCATGCAGAAGCCTGAGCAATAGCCACTTCGAAAAGTGCCGCACAGGAGAATACCACAGCAAGAGACTTCATTCTGGCGTATTTTTTCTCTCGGAGTTGTGAAGTGTTAATGAATATGGAATCGCGTTACCCAAGTGACCCCCTATATATGTTTTCAATTAATATAATTGCTCTCCGATGGGGTTGTGCATGTCAAATTAAGCTTCGGACCGAATGATGCGGAGTTCTTTAGCCGCCGTGCGAGGGATTCGACGGACCGAGAACCGTAAACTAAACCGGGATTTCCATCCACTTTTACCGATATCTGGATATTGAATTCGGTGTTTATTGGTGGATTAGTGATATGATGGTTAATTGGGATTTATATTAAATTGCACTAGCACTTTATTAAAAGCTCTGCCATGTGTCATACAGATGGAACGAATTGAGCCCTGCGTCACATCCTACATTCGCCCATATTAGTCCGATGAGGTTGGGTCCATTATACGAGTACTTGAGCTACACAATATCTGGTTAATATAGCGCGCCTAGATTATTAAGGTGACTTAAAGCACCAAAGCAATCCCATAAACATGAACTCTGACTTGAGACAGCTATTACTAAGGTTAGGTGATGATGTTACTCTGTGAAGTCCATATATAGAGTCCGACTGGGCCGGTCTACGAATTCACGAAGCCTAACTCGGGAAAAGCGTTAAGGATAATATTATCATTACCTGCCTGGCTCTTACAAGTATGCGCAGCCTTGGCGATCCGGACGAGCGAAGTTGATTAACGTATATATGAATATAAGCCCAGCGAGATAACGACTAGGCAATACCTGGAGTTTTTATGCCTGCTCAACCTTCAATTACGTATCCTTCAGAGAGAAAATGTAGCACAGCATCTACGTATCGGTGTAAGAAGGAGTAAAAACATAAAATAGTCATAAAGCTTACTATAGGAGCTTTAGAAAATGTTACTAGGGCCATATATATTTAATATGCCCTAAATATAATTATATGTTTTTGGAAGACTCGAATATCGCTATTGATCCGGAGCAAGATTACTCATGCTAATATTTCCGCTCAGAAAGACGTGTGAGGTTCCAGGCCCCCGGCTTCAGTAAATTTTATAGTGCAAGCCAAACCGCAAAACTGATGAATTAATCAGGAAGAGTTCTGTGTAGTTCAAGGTATATATAAAAAGAAATCTATCAAAATCTTTGTCGTCTGTGGTCTCTTTTGACCAAGTGCTGAGTATAGAAATGGCCATTTAATAATATAAGGATTGGCACTATATATATTGCAACATGTACCTAGGCCTACGATACCTCAAGAATGACCTTGTCTATAAAGCACTGATTAGTCAACGTCCATCTAGCAAGAGGAATAGTTTAAATTTTAGGAAACGTAAAATGCAGGCACACTCAGCAATTCATTCATTCAGGCCGTAGGATATATAGATCGGTTTTATAGTCTTTGATACTTATCGAAAGCCGCCCATGAGGCCAGAAACATAACTAATTTAGGGTCTTAGACAAATTAAACCCTGTGCAGCTAGACTAAACATCGTTGTATCAATTAACGGTTATTAAATCAAATTATCTTTGGGTCCTATTGTTCAAATACTGGCACCTGTATTTCTCATAACTGACTATTTCTGCATGCATGCGTGTATGCGTCACCAACCAAGCAGCTTCGATCTTCACCCAAATGGCACCCATAAAAATATTCAGATCTTTCTTTCTTTCTTATTTCCTGCTATATCTGCACCTCAGATATCTTGCATATTTATATCTCTCTCTAGCGCTACCCCAGCTCCCATATGCACAGAAAGTGTATTTTCGAAATTGGCCAATTGGTCTATTCTCCATCTCAGCAAGTCACTATAGTTCTATCCTTCCCTGAGATCCATCCTTTGTAGGTACAGGCTGATGCTTGAATTGAGATCTGACTTCTCATGTCATTCCGATGATGATGATGATAATGATGGTGATGATGATGATGAAGATGATGATGCAATGGTCCTATCTAGCCGGTGGTTTTTTCGTGCTGATTGGAGAGAGGACTACTACCCCTTGCAGTCCCGATACCAATCGATCCTCGGAATGACGATGACATTAGATGCATTTCCATCGGGGCCCGGCTTCTAGAAACCTCGTCGTTTAGTTTATCAAAGTCGGGGACTTTGGAAGGCTTGACCGAGAAGTGTGGTACTGGAGAATTGATTGATGGGTCGTTGTTCATGATCCACGATGGGACTTAACGGGGCTTACAGGGATTTAGGATTACCGTCTGTATGTAGGCCGATGTACTCGGGTACCTACATTGTACCTACTCTACTCATGGCAGGCAACAAGAACCTGAACATCGTTTTTCTGGTAGCAACCACTTTGACCCCTGCTAGCGCGTTTTTATGTTCAGGTTCTTGTTACCTGTCGCGAGTACTTCATACGCACCTAGAGTACATACTCCCGAGTAGAGTACATGTAGGTACTCTACTAGCACTAATGCAAATCTACATGTCTATCTCTTTGCCGACAATTTTCATGGTTAGAACCTCACTCACTATAGCTGCAGGAACATCCGCTTTTCATCCCATCCCCACTCGTCGTTCCGTCCCGTTGCTAGCTACTGGGAACTACTAGTAGGGAACCCAACCCACGCGATCGACCATCCACATAGGTATTTGTACCTGAATCTCAACCCCTGAGCTTCATAAATTGTCACTCGGATTAGAAGCTACAAATCTTTCTACGTCTCCTACTAGTTCTTCCGTCAGAAGGAGACGTGCCTGGGATATTCGGGTTGGCTTCCCTCACCATATGACAGGGGAAGTAGATAAAGGGTTCCCGGAGATTTCAACTTCATCCTTCTTGGGAGATGGGGTGTTTGCTTAAAATGGTTACTCGGTTGCAGGCATCTTGATGTATTCTACAGCCTCTATCCTGAAACGTACCCATTGATCGAGGCGACCTGCATGTGGGTGCATCAATGCCAACATCTGCTAAAATGGCAGTCCCTACCATTCAAATCCGCCCAAGTGTTGCTCTTGGCAAGGATTGATTTCATCGGGGTTGTTTTTGTTTTCTTCGTAGCCCTTTTGGATCCAACCATCTGGTGAGCCACGGGTCATTCACCCAATTGATTGCAATTGGCCTACGCGCTTCAGCTATGACATACGTACATAGTGGCAGCCGAGGCAGGCACGTATGTACTCTAGAATGCTGGACCGCCTGCAAAGGTAAGCGGGGTTTATTCGTTGAGGTGATCAACCGCTTTTCGCGAACACCAACTCAATATCTTCGGTCCTCCTAGGTCGTCAAACCTTCACAAGCTGTAAATTCGCTATGGCGACCAGAAGCGATCGCACCGTTTCGAGTCGTTTTATCGCTGGGGAAGACAGTGACCTCATGCTTAAAAACGTAGGTTGACGATCCTTTTCTGCGAGCCCCTTGAGCTGTTGCTTACCTACCCTGACGAGTAATAGAGTACAGCGCAAACTACATATGGACTCAGGACTCTACACCCCGCTCAAAGCGACCTTTCGGCGGGCCAGCAACATGATATAAAAGCAGTGGAGTAAGTTTTACCCGATTCCTGTGGGTTTACCCCCACTGCGATTGCGCGACGAGCGCTCGCAGTCGACTCGCGCGCATCGGAAAATGAGATATAAACCACCATTTCCTTCGGATAGACTCGGATCTGGGAATAGCACTGATGAATCCCTTTACATAGTATTGTTGCGGTTCACGGTCTGGCAGGACATCCGGTGAGAACTTGGACTCACGATTCATCCGGGAAACTATGGCTTCGGGATTTTCTGCCGAAAGATCTCCCAGGTGCGCGTGTTATGACTTATGGATACGATTCGAGCCTGGTCAATAGCAAAAGTGTTATGGCTATAATGGAGAATGCGGAGGGTCTTTTGAGAGAACTCAGGTTCCGCCGCCTTTCAATGGAGGTTTGAGCTCCATGTCTGTATTCTCCCGGGTATTCGCTAAAGAATCACAGGAAAAAGAAAGACCAATAATATTTATTGGGCACAGCATAGGAGGGCTTCTCATCAAGAAAGTAAAACCCCCTTCAACTCAACTAGACTGTGGGACTCTTGGTTTAACATTTCCTAGGCTCTCACAATCGCAAAACGGGAAGAAAATTATAACTTGATTCTTCAGTCTACCTGTGGTGTAGTATTTATGGGTGTACCTCATGACGGCGCCGACATTGCAAAGTTGGCAAAGCGTATTAGCAAGATTGCTCAAGTTGTCACTGATCTCGGTACAACAAATATTAAAGATCTTGTTGAAGATTCCCGTTCAATACAAGATACTGCTCGCGCTTTTGGATTTCTTGAAGGCTTCTCTGTGGTCACCGTCAACGAGACAGAAAAGACGTCTGTACCACGTAGTAATCGAAAGAGTGCACTCGTGGTACCGCCAACGTCGACAAAATTGAATCTCGGAGACCGCGAAAAAACACTCAGTATCGCGGGGGACCATCGATCATTGCCCAAGTTTCCGTCAGCCGATGATTTACAGTATCGAAAGCTTGCCTCGATCTTGCAAGACTTAGTTACACAGGGAGTTGTGCCTCAAGGTCAGTACTCTGATGAAAGACCCGAACCAATCTTCTTTTTTCTTATAAGCTGACTAGTTGATTCTTCATCTAGTGCTTTCCGAAAAGGAGGAAAGCTGTTTGCAGTATTTTTGGACCTCGGATTATCTTACCCACAGAAAACAAATACCAAATCGAGGGCCAGGAACGTGTAAGTGGTTTTTACAGGATGAAGAGTTCAGGAAAAATTGGCTCGATCGAGAGGAGTCCGTTGCCCTGTGGGTTTCAGGCCCAATTGGGTGTGGGAAAACAATTCTATCTTCTTATATTGTTGATGAATTGAGTACCGTTGAATTTCGCTCGAGCAACCCGTCAACGTCATGCTACTTTTTCTGCGACGCAAAGAATGATAAGGAGAACACCGGTGAGGCTGTTCTTCGAGCTATGCTACACCAAGTCTTCACCGCACATCCATTCTTATTGCAAAAACATGCCCTTCCTTATTACCAATCCATGGGATCCCGAATTTACCTTTCCTTCGGCACCCTATGCGACATTTTCGAGAAGGTTTGTTTCGACACAAGTATGGGGGATATATATTGTGTGATTGATGGCTTTGACGAGTGTGAAAAATCATCGAGAAGACAGCTTATCCGGCTCTTCAAACGGATCATTGAAACGAAAAGAACTAGAGAGTCACATGTCTCTCAACTTCTCAAAATTCTGATGGTAGGACGACCCGAGGAAACAATTTATAGCAGCTTTCACGGCCTTAAATATGGATATACAATACAACTGGATAAGAAATCTGAGCAAATAGATAAAGACATCACGGAGGTGGTGCAAGCCGAAGTCGGAAAGCTGAAACACCTCTGGTCGGAGCGCGATGATATGAGGCCGATGATTGAGTCTACCCTTATCGCACGAGCTCATGGATCATTTCTATGGGCTTCATTGGTGCTCGAAATCCTTCGAGAACCCCCCGAGTCTGCCGAGGACGATCTCGAGAAAGTACTTGCAAGGATGCCGGGGACATTGGAGGGTATTTATGAGGATATTATTGAGGCAATACCTATCAGAAGACAGAAATCCGCAAGCAAAATTCTGACGTACCTTGTCTGCGCTGCTCGGCCGCTGCTATTATCCGAGATTGCAGTCGCTCTAGCAATAGAACCGGATGATGGGGCACTGGTGTCTGTAATTCGTAAAGTTTCCGCAGATATTAAGCGACACCTTCGACTCCACTGCGGTCCTTTGCTCAAGATAGTCGGAGAAACGGTTCATTTAGTCCACAGATCAGCTATGGACTTTTTACAAGTGCCTTTATCATTCAAACCCGAAACATTTATCTTCTACGTCGATTCGGTAAAATCCAATTACACAATTGCGACTGCATGTGTGAGGTACATTTCGATGCTTCGCCCTGCAGATGTCTTTGAGGAATCAGATGGAGTAGCACGGAATAATCAATCGCCGCAAATGAAATCAGAAGCCGCGTTGACACAATCATCCGGCGGTGCTTTCATTCTCTACGCCGCAACATACTGGGCCTATCATCTCCGCCAAATCGGAATTATCAACGATATCAATCTACTGGAGCTGGTGCGAGTTCTTTGTGATGAAAAGATGCCTTTTCGCCTTAAATGGTTAAAGCTTTGTTCACCAGACTCAACTGCCACAAGCTTACGAATGGCAGAGAGTTGGAGGACAAATCCTCAAACGGTTCCAACCATCAATATCTTAGCCAGGTTTGGCCTTGTGTCGGTTGTTCAGGAGCTATTCAAGGCGGGAACATTGGACATCTTGCTGTCAGATATTCATGGATATACCGGTTTGCATTGGGCGGCACATGAGGGTCATGATAGCATGGTCGAATTTCTTCTTCAGAACGGGGTAGATCCAAAGCTCCAAGATAGAGATGGATATACCGCTTTACACACCGCCGCCTTTTCGGGCCGGGAATCTATCGTCAATCTAATGTTGTTAGCCAAAGGCCCCGAAATCGAGATGCAGAGTCATGAAGGGTGGACTCCGCTACATGTTGCGGCATATGCCGGAAGTGAGAATATAGTGAAGGCCTTGATCAGAAGCGGAGCTAATGCAGAGGCCAACGACAAACATCAAAGATCCCCTTTGCATATTGCAGCCTTCGCCGGCCATCTTCCCATAATCGATATGCTTCTAGAAAACGGCTGTTATAGACAGGCTCGGGACCTGGAGGGGGAAACTGCCCTACATTATGCGAGCCGTTTGGGCCGCGATCCTGTCATCAAAGGCCTGATTCAGGACAAGAACGATAGAAAGAGTAAAGCAAAGCTTGGTCGTACGGCTTTACACGTTGCTGCTCATGCAGGAAGGGACAGTAGTATTTCGGTGCTTCTCCAGAAGCGTCTTGAAGTTGAAGCCCGGGATGATGATTTTCGCACGGCTCTCCATGTGGCCGCTCTGGCCGGCAACGACTCTGTCGTCCAGGCGTTACTTGACAATAAATGCGATAAGAACGCTCGCGACGCTGCGGGGATGACCCCTCTGCATCTTGCTGCTGATGCCGGAAATGATAGCACTGTCGAGACGTTACTTCGGGGAGGTGCAGACTGTGAAGTAAGAGACACCCAGGAACGTACTCCAATGCGCCTCGCATGTTATAAAGGACATGTGTCCATTATCCGGATGCTTTTGGATCATGGATGTCATGGGGATAGTTTGGATGGCCAAGAACGAACTTCGATGCACATAGCTGCAGAACTTGGGCACGATTATATCCTTGAAGTCCTTCTTCAAAAAGGTTGCCAGAAGATAAATTTCCGCGATCAAAAGGGACTAACGCCATTGCATGTCGCAACGTACGCTGGACATGAAGCTGCTATGGAAGTTCTCTTACATTATGGCTGTGATTCTAATGCCCGGGATAATCTCGGCGAAACGCCTCTCCATTTCGTTGCCCGTTCGGGAAACGATACTACTGTCAAATTGCTGGTCGAAGGGGGCTGTGATAGACACGCTAGAGACAGCAAAGGACGGACGGCGTTGCATATAGCGTCGCACGAAGGTCGTGACCACATAATCAAAACACTTCTATCAGAAGATTATGAGAAGGAGGTTCAGGATGAATTTGGATGGACGGCACTTCATCTCGCTGTTCTTGCTGGCCATCATACCACTATTGAGACACTTCTTCAAAATGGCTGCAACGGTAGCACTCGAAGTAGTGATGGCGATACGGCACTTCACATGGCTGCAAAGGGTGCGGATGGGTCCGCAATTAAAGAATTGCTTGAAAATGGCGGGGACATGGAAGAAAATATCAAACGGATCACGATTCACGTAGCAAGCCAGGTTGTGCATGATTTCAGCATCCGAGTGCTTCTCGAGAATGGTTGTCATAGCAACGCCAAGGATAGAAATGGGTGGACTGCACTGCATCACGTAGCCGGGGAAGGACGGGACCATAGCATTAGAGCGCTCCTCGAAAACGGCGCGGATCCAAACATTCAAACGGAGGATAGTGGAAGAACTGCGTTGCACTATGCTGCTAGTGGAGGTCATCTTTCTAGTGTCAAATTGCTGTGCGAAAATGGAGGGGATCCAAAGGTCAAGGATAAAAAAGGCTTGAATGTGCTGGAATATGCGACTGTAGAGAAGAAACTAGATGTTGTGGAATATATCAAGTCAATAAGTAAACCTCTTCTCACTATCGCGACTGAGGAATTGCGCTAACGCTGAATATAGAAGAGCCTGACGATTTAGAGAGCATTGGTGAATCTCTAGGTAACACAGAGGGGCCTACAGAGTACTCGCATGATGATGCATCTCGCGTTCCTGAACCAAGCGCAACAATAGGGCACATCACTGAAAGTCAGATTGATGACTCTGTATTAACCCCTACCGATGACTCACATGATAATACTACAAGTCGTACCCCTGCGCTCAGCGCAACAGAGGGTCCTATTGAGAGCACCGAATCGTCCTGGCCACCCCCCCCTACGGTGACGGATAGGGTAACTAGTAGTATTAATGATAGCTCCGATACAAACACGACCTACCAACGGCATGAGGACGAGACTGGTGCAACAACGACAACGGAGGGGGGGCTGATGGGTCTTTCTGACATGGATTCAGTGACAGTTCCGGCGGTTAGTCGGCGGAAAGTTGTCTCTAGCGCTGAATCTATCAAGAGCCCAGCATACACAGATATGACTGCACATAGATCCCCACCAAGTTCCACACACTACGGCTCCGTCGGAGGTAATCGTGGTTTTAGTAGCCCATCGCAGCCCCCCAAATCAAAACCGTCTCGTTGGCCAGCATGGTGCTTGTGCGGGAAGGAAGGGAAGGGAGAAGAGGAAGAAGCAATACCTGCTCGCTTGAGCCCATCTATGCGATGAGCATCAGGGGTATCTCGCTATGGTCGAGCTCTAAATGCCTATTTTTGCTGGTACCTTTTTGATAGTGGAGAACGTTCTTTTGGGCCATCGGTGGTACAAATGATTTTTCAGATGAATTGTCAGGAGTGGAGAATGTGGATCGAGGACATGTACAATCGGGGAGTTTGTCACTTTTATTTCTATTTTTAACCTTTATTACTCTATATGTAATTTTTATATCCGTGCTGAGACATTGGAAGGCAACAACTTTAATTTATTCTACGCTTATTTCTTTTCCTCTTGATATTAATATATATGTACTTTCGTTGGGAGTTTATATGCGGAAAGAATGTCAGCAGGGTCGATTCGGCAGGTACTTGGGATCCGATTGTTGGAGATCTGGAACAAAAAAGACCTTGATAAGCAGGAATAAAAGTTTTTGTGAACGGCTTCTATGAAGGTTTCGGATCGATAAGCAATATTGCGACAAGTATGTGTCACTGCGGGAGACAAAACACCATTGGTATTACATGTAATTTTATGGAGAAATCTATCATATGCATCATAGTCACAAAACCACAGGTTCCCAACCCCTTGATTCGGGTGCTTGCAGAAACCCTGATGAATGTATAATGTAACTAGATGTGTACCTAAGACTATGTCGCGTTGTATAACAAACTTTAGCCACACTCATGTTCAGTTATGTTCGTTGTGATGTGGAGCACTTTACAGGGTGCCATGTAGTTTATTGATCTACTGAGATCGATGTGTCGAGGTTACATAAATACATATAACGTGAATTATCAATCCGCTCCACTCGTTCTCTCTAAAGAAGATTTAAAGATTTCGATTTAGAAATATCGTGTGCCAATTGTTGAAGTTTGCAATTTGTTTGATCCCCACTTAATTTACGTGTTTGTAAGTACATCTAGATCTAACCACATGCATGTACGCACCTACCAATAGAAAGAAGACTCCAATGTTAGTCCGGGAAGCCCCTAACTACATGTAGGGCTAGACGCAGCCGTGAATTGGAAGGACAGCTACACGCTCATATCACAGGGTCTTAAGATTATGAATCTTTAATCTAACACGCTCCGCAATGAGGATTAGTCTGGCCAGGAATATATCTAGGTAGTGGATACATACATGGGTACCACGATACTCATCCGAGTCTTTATTCCCGTGGCTCTGGAAAGGGAGGCAACAAACATGTACGTATTGTACAACGTAATCCCATAAGATACATCCCGAGATTAGCTACGTGTAGTATAAATGTATTCTCTTAGAGTGTTTAGTATAAAAGATAAGTCCCAAGAAACCCGCTTCAGAGTTCAAACAATCTCTCTGCTCATCTCATCATCCCCAAAGCCGAGCAGATAGATGTTTAATTACACAATGGGCGTTATTCTAGATCTCCTCTCTGGGGGATTCCAGAAAAGCAACTGTCTCTTCCCCCTTCTAATAATCTTTCTGGCCAGTCCTTCTCTTGCATCCCTAATCCCCCGCTCTGAAGCCCCGCCTTCCAATGGCGTTGCAAACCCAGGCAATTGTATATGGAATAGCCTTGGGTGCTTTAATGAGCCACCAGGGGGCAGAATTCTCGAATATCGTTTTACTTCAGACCACATGACCCCAGAACTTTGCTGGTCTTATTGTGCAGAGAATGACTTTGCGTTAGTCGAGTACCGATTGTAAGCCCTCTCATCTTTGATTTGATTTAGGTGAGGCTATTGGCTGATTGACTGGTGATAGCGAGTGCTGGTGTGGTAATGAACCAGATTTAACGGCCGGGGAGTGGAATGGCATGGGAACTGGATGTAGACTCTCTTGTCCAGGAGACCCTAAGCAGCTGTGTGGAGGATCGTCAAAGTACGTAATGCTACTAACGTATCCTTGAATAGCTTTACAGTTCAGCTAACTAATATCTTGGTAGGGGTCAATTATGGCAGAAAAGTCCAAATACGAGTACTTGTACCGGTGCAGCTACAGGTACAAGTACAGTTACTGGCACAGCTACTGCAGTTACTGGCACAGCTACTACAGTTACTGGCACATCTACTTCAGTTACTGACACAGCTACACCTACTGGCACAGTTACAGTTACATCTATACCTAGTGGTACCGTCATAGGTGCGGATACCTCTATCAACACAGAAACTGGTACAGGCACCGGTACCGGGATGATCTCAGCCACTAGTACAGACGTCTGCATGGCCTCAACTTCAACAGTGATTGCCACTACTACAGTCACTAGCTCAAGTATAAACACCATTACCGCTATAGGTACAAGTACCAGAACAGTTACCGTTTCTGTAACTCAAACAGTCACCACAGAAAAAGAAACAATCACCGAGGGATCAACTGCAACACCCACCAAAAGCACAACCGAGACCCAGCCAGGGGGTATAATAACGGTCACGGTTTCGGTGCCGGGCTCGGGATTAGGATTAGGATTAGGATTAGGATTAGGATTAGGTGGTACTATAACTCAGACCATTACTGTACCCACAACCGTGACTACAACTGAGACGAGCACGATTACCGCAACCGCGCAAACAGTCACTCTGGGACCAACTACAGCTACTACGATCGTCCCTGCCACTATTACCACGGCTCAACAAGCCACTACAGTTGTGCCAGTTACTGTAACCATGACTGAAACCCACACTCAAACTGTCGGTGGTACGGTAACCGAAACGATTACTGCGCCTTCAACCGCTACCGTGACTGTTACAATAGCCCAGGAAACCGTTACAATTGGATCAAGTACTATTACCGTTACTCCTAGTGCGACCGCTGTGACTATTATATCAACTATAATTGCTACCACCGCCCAAATAACTGTTACAGTGACTATCCCTGGGTATGCTTCCTCCCTCTATCACCTCTCTTTGTCACTAATTAACACATGAATAGGACCGTTACAGCGCCTACCGCCACTGCTACTGTGATTGACCCTACTGCGCCTGGTACTACCAGTCTTACGATCATTGACCCCACGGTCGTGAATTCTAGTGGAAGTACCGTTAGCCCCACTGCTGTCGATACTATAAACCCTACCATAATCAACCCCGGCGGCAGTACTGCTAATCCCACCGATACTATCGTCCCCAGCAGTACCATCGCTCCTACAATTATCAGCCCTACCATTACTTCTGCACCCACAACACTCTCCACGATAATAACCACACCAACCACGAGCATCTCCATCCCGACCTGTTCCGCAATCATTCAAAACCCTAGCTTCGAGATACATTACCCCTCGTCCTGGCTTAGTACTTCCTCCCCTAACACCTTAGGCTCAATCACCAACGAGGTCTCACTGTTCGGCCACTCCAGCTACGTCTTCAGGTTCGAAGCAGTTGCGTCCATCAAAAGCGTGGTATCAATTAGTCAGGTCATCGTGTTATGTGCTGGGGTGAAATATACAGTGCAGGCCTTCACGCTGATATCGTCGTCGGGATGTAGACTCAGTATCTCCCTTGGCGGTATCACTGTTGCGGTCAGCAGCAATATTGTTGGAGGCGGGTGGAAGGGGACTAGACAGGTTGCGACGGTGGATGGGACTGGTGTGCCGGTCATCTTGAAGGTGTTTGGAACCTGCGATGGGCTCAGGCTCGGGTATCTGCCGTCGAATCTGATGCTGGACGATATCGTGCTTCGCGTAGTCACGTAAGCTCGGGACTGGCTATTTATTTTTTTTTTGCTTTATTTCTGGATGACAGATCTAGCTAGCGATGGCAATATATCTTGCTGGATAGACGGCCGGCCGGGCCGAGTGATGGCTCATGAATACTTTTTTATTCATTCATTTGCTATGTATTTTTGTTGTCAACGATAGGTTGAATAATTAAGGCTCGCTATCGGGAGGGATCTCATAATATAACAAGTTCTTCTCTCTTCTCTCTTGATATCGAAATAAATTAGTAAAAGTGGTATCGGAGTTGTGATTGTCGCCTCCGCCGAAACCCTAACCCTGGTATGTTCCCTCGAGATCAGTTGCCAGCTCAAACTTAGTTAAACCATGACCTTGCCGCTAGTTCGGGGGATGTAAACCTGGCTGGCGGGCGCCCGAGCCCAGGCAATTAGCTGCTCGGTCTCTGTAGTCGTACAGTATGGACTGGGAGGCCGGATGGAAGGAACTATGGCCGTGCTGCGGGTGTGGATACATCCAAACGTAGTCCAGGGTAGACAAAGCTTAGTAGATCGAGCATGTGGCGACTCCTTCGATGAGGGACTTGATCCGATAGATGGAGTGATTCCGAGCAGTGAACTCAGTTGGACAAGACAAGCTTAGTTTTGCTCAGTTCGACAGCGTGGACTCAGTCGGGTTCGATTAAGCTCAGTCAAACTCAACTAGACTCAGTCGGACGCGATTGAGCTCAGTCGAGCATGGCCTGAACTCAGTTTTGTGTGTCGAAACTCAGTTTGGCTCAGCTGGGCTCAGTCGGATGTTGACTCGACTCAGTCGGGGGAAAATAGGCTCAGTCGGACTCAGTTGGAAAGTTTAAACTCAGTCCCATGTGCAGGCCGGCTCAGTCGGGGCCGATTGAGCTCAGTCGGACGTCAATAAAGCTCAGTCGAGTAGGGCAAACTCAGTTCTGCGAGGTGTCGACTCAGTCGGACGTTAGATAGCTCAGTCAGACGTCATATAGCTCAGTTAGAAGAGGTACGCTCAGTTGGACGGGGAAAACCTAGTTTAACGAAGCCTGGACTCAGTTGGCCAGGAAGTGAGCTCAGTCGAGCGGGGCAAACTCAGTCGGACGGAGTTGAGCTCAGTTGGCCTCGGACTGAACTCAGTTCGACGAAGTACCAACTCAGTCGGGCTAAATTAAGCTCAGTTGGAAAATGCAAACTCAGTCGGGTGGGGGTGGGGCGAACTCAGTTTGACGATGTAACGTATAACGGCTCAGCTGGGCATCAGATGAACTGAGTCGGACTCAGTTAAGCTCAGTCGAACATCAACTCGACTCAGTCGGACGTCGCAAACTCATTTCGGACGTCACAAACTCAGTCCAATATGCAGTCGAACTCAGTCGGCTCAGTCGGATGGGGCAAACATAGTTTGTCGAGGTATCAACTCAGCCGGGAATCATATGAACTGAGTCGGGCTCAGTTAAGCTCAGTCGGATATCAACTCGACTCAGCCAAACGTTACAAACTCAGTCCGGTTTGCGGGCGAGCTCAGTCGGACTCAGTTGGGCTCAGTCGGGTATGAACTGAACTCAGTCGCTCAGTTCCATGTGCATGCCGACTCAGCGTGTCAACAAATGGACTGAGTCGGACAGAACAAACGCAGTCGAGTCTGTACGTTGACTGAGCCGGAATGGACCGACTCAGTCCGCCAGAGCTTGGCTCAGTTCAACGTCGACAAGACTCAGTCGAGTAGATCGAACTCAGTCCAAACCACAATTAAGCTCAGTCTATCAATAAACCCATCCAATATCAACACAACTCAGTCCGGCGTCGAAAAAACTCAGTTCAGCAAAGAAAGCTCAGTTCGAGCCACTATAAACTCAGTCAAGAGTATCAACTCAGTCGGAAAATCCCCATCTCAGTCAAGCCGACCAAAATCAGTCCACTCCACGACTAAGCTCCAACAGATTCACTCAGTCCAGTCCAGTCCGCAAATACAAACTCAGTCCGTCCCACATACCGACTCAGTCGAGCAACAACCAAACTCAGTTCATCAGCATCAACTTAGTACCTACGTCCACACCCACCTGCATTCCAAAGATTCCAAACATTCCAAAGCCAACCTTCACGAAACCCAACTGACGTGATGCCCAACCAGATAATATTAAAACCCCTCTGTCTGGGGCCCAACATGCACGTATATAGAGTAACAGACCACCACACTCCCTCGCACATGACCGGTTCAATTCGAGTAGGATGAACTCAGTCCATCCTGCAAACTCGACTAAGCTCAGTCCGCAACAGTCGACGTCCGCCAAACCCAGCAAGCAGATTGGACGAAACATTGAACCCTAACCCTCGACTGAGCTGAGAAGTTCGTGCATGTATGCGGTGTAACCAACCAACGAGCCCTTCCAGAATAATCCTGCCCTAGTTACAACCCAACATAAGCGACATCCCGCTATCCTTGGCGTTAGAGAGATAGGCATTGCATTTTGTGCTTGTGCTTGTACTACATGCCTGGCGGAAAGCGCGAAATCACATGAGGTCATTGGAATTTGGGGGCGGTTTATTTTTGGGAGCGGTTGTATCTCTGATAGAGAGCGGTTGGATAAGCTCGGAACCCGTAATGGACCGAGATGGAGATGGGGAGTGGTGGTTAGTAATTTTTTCATGGGTGCTCACTCGGGCCGGATCGCGGACAAGAGTTCTCGTGGTACGTTGTGAAATTCAATTTTTAATAGGTAGTTTATGACAGATTTGTCAATTTGAAAGCTTGTAGACATATGAAAACCCCAATATATAGAAAAGCCCCCCCGGTGAACGCCGTCACCCCTCTAGTTCCCCAGCCCTATATCGATCTTCCTTGAATGAAATAAACAAAAGAAACGCCCAAATACCCACAAAAGAAAGAAAGGAAAAGAAAAGTAAGAACGGGAAGCGAAAGATAAAAAGAAAGGGAAAGATAAAAAGAAAGAAAAAGCCCCAGTCTCAAGCCACTCAAGCCAATCTCCGTAAACGTTGCCAAGCTTAATGACCTCCTGCGTAAACCATCCCTTGTGGTTGCTGATATCCGCGAGCGACGTTCTTCTCCTTCTGTCTGTCCCTAACCTCCCTCTCCTCCTGAATGAGCGAGCAGCACGAGCAGCAAAGTGACCTCCAGTAATCTCCACAGCCTCCGCCCGCAATGTTGTATCGCTCCCTGATCTCGGCTCGCTGTCGCATTCCCATGATGAAGTAGAGTGGTGGCAGACATGCTACTAAGCATCCGAATCCCATGCACTGTGATATGATCTGTTAGTGGTTGAAAGAAAAGAAATGTAGTGTGGGGAAAGACGTACGGGACCGTTGCAGCAGGAGTATTTTTCCATTGTGCCATGGCGCATGCGGTGCTTGGTCTTTCCGTGGAGGATACAAGGGCACCAATAACCAGTGCAGCCTGAAGAATTGTTAGTATATTGATCTTGGAATATAACTTGTGGAACTAAGATAGATGGGCCACTTACAGACTCCGCAGTCGCTGAAACACCCGCACATCCCATATTTCCAGTCTTGTGGATGAGAGTGCCGGTGGTCCAGAGGATAGTCTTCCAAAGGTAAGCCCTGAGACCGAGCTTGGTTATTGTGGTATTCTTGGTGACGTGGGTTACTCATTTTGGCTATGAAGATAGATAAGAAAGAAAGATAGGGAGTGTGGATTCCAAGTTTACTTGGAAAGAAGTGAAATAAAGGGAAAAAACGGAAACGAAACGAAGAAGAAGAAGAAGAAGAAGCTCGTAGGAAGGAAGGACGTGAATGATATTTGGCGAGTAAAAAAGACGTGCTTGATAAACGGCCTGACCCCCTTTATAAGGCATTAACGATACTATTTTCCCCTCCCCATCCCCGATATTAGGTGAGTAGCCATTTCTCCGGTAGGTAAATACCAAGTATCATCAGTCTGTCCATTTTAAGACTAGCGTCTGTAAATCCTGATCCTGAGCTTGGCACATACCGAACCCTACTTTGAGGCGCGGTAAGACTCATGAAGCGATCCGGTGGGACTGTGCGACATGAACTCCATCGATAGTTTTCCTGCGCCCTCCTACTGCTGCTGTGTATTAAGTTTAACCATATCCCTATCCCAGAATCATTCCTTTACAATTTGCCCTAACGAGGACCCCCTGCCCTCATGAGAGGACATCAGTAACAATAATAAAAATAAGCCCCCCTTCTCTTAAGAATTCAGGAGGTCATCAATTGCAAAGGAAACCGCTTTCAATATAGTGATCATCTCGAAAGTCAAAGCCTCAAACACTAGTAGTGGTAAGAGGTGTTGAAATCGGTTTAGTTTCCACAATTGATGGGTCCTCCGATCCGGCCGGTCGTGTGCGCACGAAACCTTCATTTAACTTTAGCTGGTATGCATACCACGCAGGTACATGTAGCTATCCGCGTACCTGCAATGCCTATGCTGATCAAAATTTGCCTAGACTGCATGAAATGATGTTCCGCGAACGGATAGTTTTTCTTTTTTCTTTCTTTGCATTTGGCGGGGCCTACTCTACATGTAGTAGGAACGCGCGTGTCGGGTAATGAGTCTGGCTTGACGCACGACATAAGAGATGAATGATCCGAGCTTTTCTGCATCGTTCCTCTTTATCGTGAAGAGTATTTTTATTTCCTTCTGGAAGATATGGTTTGACGTTGCGGAGGCTGTGTCCTAAGATGTGTGAGCAAATGTTTAGATCCCGTATTGAGTAAGCGCGGGTAGTTACTCGCGCGTTAATCAAGCCCTGAGAAATTTTGTGAGATCGTTGCTACCAAGAATTCTCGGGACTTAATTAACGCCTGGGTACATAAGTCGGTACATGTATTTACCTCATCTGGTGATAGCCAAGAAATCGAACATTTCCCGAAGGTCAGATGGCCATTGATATTTTGGAATCGATAATATTGACGATCTAATGGTTTTCGAGGTTAAGATGAGGAGTGGGTGTTCTGGGGAACCGCGAGATACCTTTCTGATGTTCCACGTTGTCTTGTTTCTTCGTAAAGTAATACAGACGCAAAGCAGGTAAGCGTGTACGTATATTGACGGCGATCGCTTTAGATACAGCTGTTACTTCTGCATTTCAAACACATGTCCTTTGCGACATCCCCCGTCGGCAGTCACAAACAACAACATGACCCCTCTCGGCAACCCTGGTAGTATTCGTTTGTATAGAGCGCCTTGGACACCTATATCAACCATGTCAGTAAAGCGAAGCTGAAACTGTCGGAACCCCTACATGCATCGCTTATCTCCCCAAAAGCTTGATCCTTCGTCTTTACTCACCGACAGCAGTAGAGCTGCTTATATAAACTTCAACTTCAAGGATTGACCGGGCTTAAGTATGAGTTTAAGGTTGACCGGGTTTGGGGCTCTTTTTCACCGGTGCCAAGACATTCGAGTGATTCCTTATGATTTTGAGCACCGCTCTTGCTCTCTTCACCGTTTATCACCACTACCAGGGCTAGCGGGTGTGATTACGCTACATGTAGCATTAACACCCTTCTTAGCTTCTTGGCACGTTACCGGGGGTGAAGGCGCGATTCGCTCCGCCCAGGCTGTTCCTCCTTCGTCCCCGCTGTCGCTCTTTCATCCATTCATCACCCACGCCATTAGCTGTTTGCCCTTCTGGATGCAATGCCACGGCTGAATATCTCACCTACCACAAGAGCCACAAATTCAAACTTTGTACACAATAACTCAAACGGGTATAGGATGGGTTGATCATCTGGATGAAGTCAAACAAGAAGAGCGATGTATGTCCACCAAAGTGGTAAGTGAAACAATTGTAACCCTTTTTCATAACGTATCATCATTCATGTAGCTACTCATCACAAAATATCTTTACGCATACTTTTACAACTCTTGCTGTCTCTTCCCATCGCCCATATAGCTCAATGGGCCCTTCTTCACCATGATACTCATCACTTCAAACAATATATCCGCAGCCGCCATCGTAGTCAACTCCGCATTGGTATCATACGCTGGCGCCACCTCCACAATATCAGCCCCGACCAGGTTAATTTCCTCGAGTCCTCTAACGATAGTTCTAAGTTCCCTTGTACTCCACCCTCCAGTCTCCGGGGTTCCGGTAGCAGGTGCGAACGCGGGATCAAGAGTATCGATATCGATAGACAAGTACACGGGGTTTGTGGTGCCGACCCGGTCGATTATCTTCTTGATGATACCATCCACGCCGATAGTGTCAATTTCCCGAGCCTCGACGATCTGGAAGCCGACGTAGCCGTCATTTTCGTAGTCGCTGGGGCCGCTAAGGGTCGTGCGAATTCCGGCATGGATGTTGGTGTCGTTCTTGAGAAGGCCCTCTTGCGCTGCGTGGTACTGTCCTAATTGTTAATACCAACTAATAACCACGGTATTATGTAGGGTGAGACTGACAAAGTATGTTCCATGGTTCACACTCGCAGTCTTCGACAAGCTACCACCAAAGACCTTGGGCTTCCACGTATCCAAATGGCTGTCAAAATGAATAACACTGATAGGGCCATACAACTTCTTGACGCTCCTCAAAATCGGCAGGACGATGGTGTGGTCCCCACCCAGCGTGATAACCCTTGGCAACGTCTTACCGTTCAGGCTGGGGCCCGCTTTGTCCGCGTCCGTGGCAGGAGTGCGGGACAGTAGCGCATGGTGGCCGTTCTCAATTTGCTTGATTGCGTAGTCGTTGTCGTAGCTACCGGCTGTTAGTTTTCATTGGATAGGAGAGGGGAGACTGAATGGAGAACAGACGAAGTAACCGGTATGTCACCGCAGTCAAGGACCCGGGCCCAGGAATTGAATGGGTTGGTAGCGAGTGGAACATTGTATCCGCCGTAGAGGTTGAGACGCCGGGAGCCTTGGCGAATTCCGGATGGGCCAAAACGGGCTCCAGGGCGATAGGACGTGCCGGTATCAAACGGCGCACCTGTATCTCCATGTTAGAAGTAAAACGCTTGGCATGGAGGAGGAGCCCATACCGAGGAAGGCAATATCGAATTTCTCTGCGTCGGAAGCTAGGCATGGATAGTATGGCAGGCGTCCGAATGTGGAGATGCCAGAGAATACCGAGTCTGCCTATCAAACAAATTAAAATAAACCAGAGTATTAAAGGGAGAGGAAGATATACTTGAGTGCCACCATCACCGGGCAGAGTATTATACCACAATCTCTCACGATGAGGTCCTTGCGCACTGAGGTGTTCTTGTAAACTTCCTGTGTGCTCGTGTCCTACGACCGAGGATATAGCTGCAAGAAAGAGAAGGGCAGTGGTGTGCATCGTTAAAGTGATGAGAGTAGTGATGTACATCTGTTGGAGAATTAATTTCAACAGAGATTATGTCCGATTTATGTTCAATTTCTACTCTTAAGTTGAGGAATCCGAGCAAGACCTGAATATTATTAAGAAGAGAGAAGTTTCAGAAGTTATATTTATTAGGTAAAAGAAATTGTCACCTCACGCCCTTGAAAAGACAATAGCCGATCATTGACATCACACCGGAGAAATAGTGCGGGTAGATATCAATCGATATCGATGGAAGGCATGCAAGAACTGCCCTGAGTACCGAAGCATCTATCAACGGTATCCTATCATCTGTATCTGGAGAGAATCTTAACTCCGAAGCATCGATCGAGAGACTCGGAGCTTTAGGTAATGCCGATTCTCATCCTCTAGAACAGCCGCTGCTCTATCGTACTCCTCCATATAGTAGTAAAAAAGAGAAAGAGGAAAAAGAACAAAACTCTCTCCCCCGGATCACCTCAATTGGGGTCCTACTCTCCCGTGTATCCTGAAGTGGCAACGTTCGAGGTTTCTTCTTGAAGATGCAAGGTATGCTGGTATCATAGTTCACTGGCCGGGTACATAGGAGGCGTATTTATCGGACAGCGGAGACGCGATTATGCTTGACACGATACGATCCTCAAAATAGGTAAAGTGTAAAGTAATAGAAAAACTGCAATCACAATTCTCCGATTCCCAGCATCCCGGATAAGACGTCTCGACCCCGGAATAGAAAAAAACCGGTACGGGGTGGGGTGCACGAAGTACATTCCACAATTGCAAGCTGCTGTGACTCGGTGACTTGCGAGTTCTCTATTGAATATCCCAAATAGGAATATAGATAGTAGTACAGTCAGTACTTGACCCTCCACCGGTCCACTAGCTGGCCCGTGCATGCGGCTTCGTACCCAGAAAGTGCACCTTCTCACCCCAGTTACCACATCGGGGCATTATCAACGTCGTCCCGTTGCCCCATTTCGGAATCCAGCCAATCAACCGGCCCTTATCCATTCGCTGCATACTACACTTTGTCCTTATCGCTCATATGTACTTATCTACATGTAGGTACTCGAGAGTACATAGAGTACTTTCCTTTCCTTTCTTCTTTCCCCAGCATATTTACAATCATGGTAGAGCACATCGCATCGCAGAAGCTGTAATAACGGCTATGTAGGGCTAAGTCAGAGTAGAACGTGGTTGTAACTCTGTTGGTTGTTACGTAAACTCCTTATCTGAAGGGGTTGCTAAGAGGGATTACTAACAGATGTACCTACACATCCATCCCTCCCAGAGTGGGATGTATGTACCTACCTTACATGAAGTTCCACGGCCTTCTTTGGTTCTGATGGTTCTGATGGTGAGAGATGGCGAGAGGACCAATTGGGTGAGTGTGGGCGTGGACGTGAGCATGCACACTGGAATGCAATTGCGAGATAAGAAACGGATGTTTCCTAATGGCAGGCAGGATAAAAAGGGATTTATATTCGGATTATTGTTTTTCCGGTACAAAACAACCCGCGGGGGTAACGATTCAAGTTTTGAGGTTTCAAAGGAGAACAGGTTATATTGCCACGATTGAAAGAAATTCTAAAATTCTATCTTAAAACAACAAAAAAAGTAGCTACATACAGTCTATCATTTCATATTGTCGGATATGGCTGATCAATCATAGCCCACCCTCTTCAATCTGCTCATCCACCTCCATCCTCTCAAATGCCTTTCGCACTTGTAACTCCCAATCACTCCAGCCAACCAGTGCCCACTCCGCTACACCTACCAAATAGAGTGCCAGGCACTGACCCACCCACAACCCCTTCAACCCCCATCCGCCAAAAGCCAACCAAATTCCCAATGGTAGTGCCCCCAAGTAATAACTCACCAGGTTCACCGCAGCTCCAACATGCTGTCTTCCCATGCCCCTCAGCGCACCACCACAGCTGCCGTTCAATCCATCTGCAATTTGGAACAGTGCAACAAGTGGCATGACCTCTGCTGTGAGCTTTATCACATCGACATCATCGGAGAAAATCTTGGCGTAGAAATCCTTAACGGCGAGCATGATGATCATGACGAGGGCGCCAGCTGCAATTGAGAGGAAAGCAGCGGTATTGGCGGCACGGGAAGCGCCACGGGCGTCACGGGCACCGAGAAGGTTGCCAACGCGGGTGGAGGCAGCAACGCCGATGCCGAAGGGGATTGTGTTGAGGACTTGGTCGGTGGTCATTATGACACTCTGAGACGCAAGGGGGACGGTGCCCAGGCGGCCAGCCGCAAGCGCGACAATTTCAAATGCCCACTGTTGTGGGTAAATATATCAGTGAAACGGTCATTTGGAGTTCTCGACTGGTGTTTGACTTACCCATTCAGTTCCCACCATGACTACCCCCAATCCTGCTAACCGGGCGAAGACTCCCATATTCTTCAAGCAGGCCTTATCCCATCCGCCCCAACTCTCCCACCCCTTGAAAACCCTTGCATATGCCACAATTGCTGCAAAATCTGCCCAATATGTTATCCCTGTGGCAATAGGCGCACCAATCAATCCCCATCCCCATGTATAAACGAACAAGTAGTTTAGCACCGCGTTTACCGGAGACGTGATCAATAGTACATAAGTTCCCGCTCCCATGATCCCTTGTGCCTGTAAGAACTTTTTTGTGGCTTCGAAATAAATATATCCCAATCCTCCCGGTATAAGCCATCGCAAGAAAAGCGCAGATTGCTGAGCCAGCTCTGCGGATTGTCCCAACCTTAAAAATACACCCTCCGAGAACCACCACAGTGTTGCGACAGGCACATAGAATAGTCCTAGAACAACAAAAGCCCTTTGAAGTAGGATCCCAAGCTCGTAAGGGTTTCGAGAACCAGTGAAGGTTGAGGAGCAAAGTGTATCTAATGCTGTTGTACCACCCAGAGCAATTAGCCAGGCGGTTGACATAGCGAACATATATGAGAACGCAGCGGTAGCAAGGTGTTCTGGCGACATCCGTCCGACTATTAGGACCGAGATGGTTTGTAGTGAGTTCTGAAGGGTGTAGGCCAAAATGACAGGAACGCTCATTTTGACCAGGAGAAGAAACTCTGCCAGGGTAGAGTTGGAGGTGATGGAATGTGAAGTGCCATCCAGAGGTTTTGGAAGTAATATTGAGGTTTCATCGGGACTTGTTTTGGAAGTGCTACTTGATCGAAGGAATGGCGGTAGCCATGCTGATGTGGTTTTTGTCGTAACTGGGGTGTCCGTATATGTATGGTCTTGCATCGTAGAATCTGTGTTGTAAGTAGAACGAATGATACAGGGTGATCTCTCCTTCTATCGTTGATACTAAGAGGTAGCGTCGTATACTGTATATATATCTCTGATAGGGTTGCACCTGAATACTGGGAGACAAGTAAGCTTTGGAACTGAAAAGTACTGGTTGTAGAAATGATGATTACCAAGATGACAGAGCCGAAGATGATGGCGTTGACAGAGTCTACCAGTAAAAAGTTCCTTCCTTGGGTAAGAGTAAAGGTCCCGTAGCAAGCTGTACTGTAGAAGGTAGGTAGGTAGAGAGAACAACATAGTATTTCCTCCACAAAGTCTTATTCTTACATAACGAGTCAAATGGAGTAGGACCAAGACGAATCAACATCTTTCTCAATTCTCTTGGATTTGAACCGAGATCGAAAAAAGGCAAACCGTAGCACCAGGCAGGGACTACATGATGGTAAGTGCGTAGCCTACCTACCTACTTGCCCCAATTGCGGGGCATCGATAGTTAGCTGACTCGTCTGGACTTGAAACTTGGTAATATTCGCATCGGACTATCCTTATGGGCAGGTGAAGGTAGTTGTAGTAAGGGTCCGGAAATCTTCCTATTGGCCCTCTACTCGATTCTTTTACCTAAGGGCAGAATAGAATAAGATCTTCTGCATGGGTGGTTGGGTTAGCCTGAGACAGATTAGATTCACAATATTTGGATTATCAAAGAAGTTTCCAAGAATATCTACCGAGTAAAATTACCATATCACAAATACAGGTACGTACTGAATGTAGAAATTCCCATAAAGTATGTAAGCCCGGTAGATAGAACAGGATGTTTTGCATCATCCACCCAAAGAAGAATGTCATTTGAGTTTTACTATTTCATCCAGTCGGAGGAATCATCGACGCGGAGAGACGGAAGCAATGTAGAGCCAGACGTTGAAGAGAACCAATCCCAGCCTCAAGAGTTATCTGGCGTGGTCTTACGTAAATGAATCAATGCCTTGGATATGTGTGGGGGCCTGGATCCATTGAGGCCGGGTGGTTACGGAGGTCCGGAGTGTCAGGGTAACAGAGCGTGACAGGGCTCATCCCCAACCCTAGCTTGTTTCTGTTCTTCAGGAGGCAAGTTTAATGGAAAGGTAGTTGCCGGTTTTTATCGCCGAAATCCTCCAGAGGAGCTGTGAGAGTTTTTGATGACTTGAGATGAATTAGATTAGCAGCTTGGTTGTCTGGGGAGGCTGCGCATTTGAGCTTTCATGCTGACTAATACTACCACTTGGCGAGCTGTCTTGGCTATCTCTGGTTTCCGTCGAACTGTATGTACTATTAGTAGACCGTAGCTAGGGCTAGCTAGCTGAGTACTTAAGTTTACGAATATTTCAGAATAGCAAAATGGTAGTCACATCATGCATGAATCTCGGGGTGGAGAAGTTCAAACATTTGTGAGCTCCAAAGAGATGCTAAACTACATCTAATCAAGCTATGTCTACATGAATCAAGTTATGTCTACATGACAACTATTCGATCCTAATTTCAAACTCAGAATCATTGATCGCCAATAAACAGTGTAGCCCTCGGCTTCCCAGCAGGTACACACTACATACTACATGTAGTATAAGGCTTTTAACGTTGGGAATTAAAGAGGAAACACTGGCACCAACATACTTGTATGTACAGCCACTCAGCAACAGTGTTCGTGATTTAGTTTTAATGTCAGTGCGCAGTGTGGCGCACCCGTGATGTTGATGTTATTAATGTAGAGATTCAAAACAACGAAAAATATAATATAGTTCATATAAAAGAAGATAGGTCATTGATTTATTCTTCATTGATTCCGGGCCCCATTGTTCACTGGGAAAGTTTTCTCTTGGGGGGTTTTGATGGTCCGCCACGGTTACATAGAGAAATGTCTCACACCGAAATCGGAATCACGAACACTTTTGCAGAGTGGCTGTACATAGAGTACATACGTGTAACTAAAAGTACATAGATGCAATTATCTAGAAATTATAGGACGACAATGTCTTCCTCCTGTAAGGGATGGATAGATCGATCACTTATACTTCCTAAATTCCCAATACCCGCTAAAACTAATTCCTGTCTCCTAAGTGAACCTGAACTGGCCCCAGGTGTTTATATTTTGATTATTTTGTTTACCAAGATACGAAGAAGAATCAAGTTACATATCCATGAGAAGTTGAAACTATATTCGTTTTTCACAGGTTAATCTAATGTGTATAAGTACTCGAATATATAAAATTATGGACTCCTGTTGTTAGAGTGATTTTGCCCGTCCACTTCCTCCAAGATGATCAATCGAATAAGCTAATGCCACTCCACGTCGTACGTAGATATATTAGAATGTGATCCTCCAGGATGTGCTTGTATTCTAGGTCAGCCAGTTTGTGACTGAGGTCTATCAGGAACCTGTGTTTATGTGCTCTACTTACACATCCGATTTTTCCTCTTCAATTGTGCATCAAGCTGATAACTAATAGAGCCCAACATTCGCTTATCCCCGTTTCACTGCCACTGCCACACGCGACTATATGCACGCAGCACATGGTCGATCCGGGTAGATGGGTATGTAGCGAAGTGTAGCGGAGCAACCCACCTAATAAGTGAAGGAGCACCACAAAGAATTGATATCACAGAAGTCAAGCTTGGACGGAATTGCATTTCAAATTGATGAATATATATGGTTCAGTAAAAAAAGAAACACCCTTCTTACGATCCCACGTCCCCCTCAGCTCGGCTCATGATTGAGTGAGGCTACGCTAGATCAGCAATTAGATAGCAGAAAAAGAAGTCGTTATCTCTCATCACGAAACGGCGTGACTGATAATCTATGAATCCCCTAGTCTTGTAAATTATTCATGTCTCTGTCTATCTGTTGATAGGACACTTCCCGGCGATGTTAGGAAACTATATTGAATAGTACATACATGTAGTTAGATCTACTGATTGTGATAAGGATAAGGTTACTTATCATTTATCATGAGAGTCACATGATCCCGGTCTCTGAGCGTTTCAAACCCCCGCGTATTTTCTCTTTGTTTTTTTGTAGGCAAGCACCCCTAACAGGTGTATTAAAGGAGTTGGGATCGTGAGGATTTGTACCCTGTCACGTGCAAGAAATTGGCCACCAAAGAGGATACATATAGAACAGATCGTTCCCTCAGACAAGTTGCAAGTTGTCTTTGATCACGCGCCATCTGGATAGGAGGTAGTTCTCACTGCGACTCATCTTTTCTGCATTTCGATTTGGGCCCTAAGAGCGAATTGGTTTGTCCTGTTCCATTTCGACCAGTTATCCTCAAACGGAGTGTCTAGGAGTAACTTGGAGTGGCCCACTCAGTAGCTAGTCATGGCTCACAGCACAGCAAACACTAGCGAAGGCAGTACTGGCGAAAAGGCTCCCCGCGACGCCCTTCCATCAAGTTCCGAAAAGTTGGGTAAAAACAAAGTTTTTCCTGGGGAAATAAACAACGGTAGCGAGGAGGTTGTTGGCTATGTCAAAGAGTTCGCCCTGGCAAAAGGGGGGATCGAGTTGTGTCCTAAACCGACGGAAGACCCCCTTGACCCGCTAAACTTTTCAAGAATAGAAAAATGGACGATCTTAGGGATTGTAATGTGGATGTGAGTAGGCCGTCTTTCTGCGGGGCGCCGAGGAGCTGAAGTGTTGAGGCGATGGTGCGGTGAAATAACAAGGTCAAAGGAATGTGCTAAATTTCCAAACCCAGGTATTTCCTCTTCACATACATCACAACGACGACCGTTCCATCCTTCCCCCTTCTTCAAGAGCAGTATTCCATATCACACTCCCAGGTCAACTGGACCGTCGCCATCCCAGCACTTGGACTCTCAATAGGCCCCTTATTCTGGTCGTCCCTCGCAGATATATATGGTCGGCGTATAATTTTCATTTCGGGGACGATAGTGGCGTTTATTGCGACTATTGGATCTGCCGTAGCACCCACCTATAAGGGGTACATGGCTGCAAGATTTTTCCAGGGTTTTGGTGTTAGTCCTGCAGCGACTGTCGGGATGGCCATTGTGAATGATTTATTTTTTGAGTATGAGAGAGGTCAAAAGCTAGGCCTGTGGGTACTCGCACTGGACATGGGACTGTTGGTTGGACCGTTGAGTATGTACAACGAAACTCCTATTTAGGACGACGGTTTCCTGGTTACTAACTGTTCTCGGAAAGTTGGTGGCTTTGTATCCTTAGTGAACCAGTACTGGGTAGCCTGGCTCACAGCAATTCTCTTTGGTGTTCTTTTGGTTGCAGAAATATTCTTTTTGCCAGAAACTTTATATCCCCGTAAGTTGATATTATCACGTCTCCCAACAACCACAACGGAGGTTGGTCTGGGTGATGATCCCGAAAAGACTTCGGCGAGGATTCCTTTAGATATTAAGCGAACCAAGAACCTTCCTTTCATTAACTTTACGAAGATTGCTGGGGTTGAGCATCCTAAACCCTGGGATGCTTTTATGCAATTCTGCAAGATTTGGTCCTTCCCAAACATAGCTGTTTCGGTCTTCTTTTATTGTTTTGCTTGGTTTGTTTCCCCTGTTATATATCCCAAAAGTGACAAGGTTGACAAAGGTTTTAAAGGTATTGGTGGGTGTTGTCAGTCATTACATACCTTCCAGTTGCATATCCACAATACGCTGCCAATATTCAAGGGCTCCTCTTTCTCGGATTGATTCTTGGAACTCTGATATGCGAAATATTTTTCTCTGGTACATTGAGCGACCGGATAGTCTCATTGCTAGCTAAGAAGAACAATGATGTCCGTGTTGCAGAAATGCGACTGTGGCTAGTATATCCTGCTGTAATTATAACCGCTGGTATGATCACCATCTGAGAAGCTACCTCTTTCCTGCTACTAATTCGATATAAATAGTGGGTTTAATTCTGTGGGGAATCAGTGTCGATAGAGGCTACCACTGGATGGTTGGCCAGGTTGCGCTTTTCCTCTGTGAGTCTTGCTGCAATTCTCTCAGGCTTCTCGCCCTTGGCTGCTAACACCGAGTCAGTCGCAGCAGGAATCCAGATCGGCAACACTGCCATTTCCGCCTACATAGTCGACTGTTATCCATCGCACGCAATGTCGGTAATAATCTTCTATAGCGTGCTTCTTAACTTGAGTGCGTTTGTGAATCCGTTTTTCATTGCACCATGGTGTGACAGTGTAGGGTTCACATGGACTTTTTCGGCACAGGGCTTATTAACTTTTGGAGTTATGATGCCGGTTACTGTAGTGCTGCAAAGATATGGATTGCAGTGGAGGACAGCGAGGGGTGAGCCTAAATGGTAATACACAAGCTTGTACAATTTGGGTATTGGGGGGTATGTAGTACTGAAACTGCGTTTCTTTTTGGCGTTTCCCGGTTTTGTTTATCGATTGTTTCTAGCGGGTTGAGTTTGTTTGATAGTTATATATATTCCTGTCAGTTGAGGTTAACGTTAACTTTCAATGTCGAGAATTTATTTATGCAAATTTCGAGTGGTGTTGTGCGACGTTGGGTCGGGCCGGCCATGGGTGGTCGATACTACATACAAATAGCCTATCATTATTAGGGTGGGTCCAACAAACCTTAAAACAAACCCTTGATAGCTCAAAACTGATGGCACTTTGCAGCATCTTGAGTTGTAAGAGCAATGCTCGTGTTGGGCGCGAGGTCTCCCCGATATGTATCGGTAGGTCACATTCTAGTACTGCGGTAGCCAGTCGATGCAATATTAATTCCGGCGCGGATTATAAATACTTGTATAAACGTTGGGACCGGGATATATTACCACATATCTACTACTTCGCTTTAAGCTTCTGCGATCTACAGAAGCAAAGCTAGTGCGGCTAGAACCAACACCCCTTCTCTCTTATCGAGATCTATCAAGGGGTTGGATGCAAGCTAGCATAGTAGATCTCGTAATGAGAATCTAAAAAGGTATGACGCATGTTACGTAACTGTTTGATTTTTTGCTTCCTGTTTTGGATCCTGGTACTCTACTGGTTAAATGAGCACTGCTGATTCCTCGCATGCGCTCACCATAGATACGCTCAGACTACATTCATGCCAACGTCATCTAGAGGATGGAATTTCGTGTTGGTATCTGTTAAAATCAAACTAGACAAGTAAAGGGGCTGCATCTCGAAAGAATAGATTCCAAGGAATAGTTTGAGATGAGGTGAATCATAATGTTCTTCCATGGGATCTAAGCATGTGTCCTATCGAAATCATAAAGAACAACCGGATTCGCTCAAGTATGGCAGAGTATGGGTGTTCTATCAGCAACTATATGTATCCTACATCATACCCGAATACCAACACCACAAGTACATCCTTGGCTTTAACCTTTAACTTATATATGACGGATACCTCGATTTGGAATACCTATTTCGAGTAGTCCAAAATCAATTTTCCGTCGGACTAACTGGTTGGTAGGGAATGATCCTTTGATACCTCCGCACCGATCACTTCAAAACTATCTACATACCTTAACTTATTGATATAGTTTAAAGTACAAGTCTATAAACACATTCGATCGATCACCATAACAACTTCGAAAGCATTTCCCAGAGTACAAGAGGGCATGGCCCGTCATTGAGGAACTCGATAGCACCTCCTGATGGCGCAATTTTGCAACTGAATTATTATTAGCGAGAAATATTTCCGGATCACTTTAATTCTCTAAGTACCTACATGCATAGGTGAAGAAAGAAAATCATAGGTGGATGTGCTACACAAAGATTTACAACCGCATGGCGCACACTTGACGTTGTGAAGCCCATGTAGGTTTCTGGTTATATAATGCCCTAAAGAGATTTTGGGGCTGGGTAATCTGGAAGCCTACATTTGCTGGTGGGAATGAGCATGAAATGGGTGAATTCAAGTATACGTAGTCTACCTGGAAATTCCCGACGTTTTTTTTTTTTTTGGACTGGACTGCTATTGGATATCCAAACTCATTGACTTGGCTCTTTAAAAAAAACATCAATACGTTCTCTGTGCATGAATAAAAGTACATGTAGCCACATATAGCTTCAAGTTTTGGTCGATCGAAACTTTGATTGCTTTCACACCGCAGGGATAAACCTATAGACGCAGACTTATAAAGGTTCGCACTCTCTCAATACATGTAGTTATTTACTTCGATATAACTAATAAGAGTCATATCGTGTCAAAACTACCACTTTTCGACATACGGCCTGATATCAATCTCCCATGTAAACGCTGTCCTAGGCTGTGTATGCAAATGCCAATACGCATCCGCGATCTGTGGCTGTCAGCTCATTCCTCTCTTGGCCCCTAGGATGAGAAACTTACTGCATTGGAGCTAATCTTGGCATCAGGGACCTCAGTTAACCACTCTTTAGTTCTCGGAATATCAATAACCCCATCGATCACTGCATGCGAAACATGAACCCCTTTGGGTCCAAACTCTCTGGCAAGAGATTGACTGAGTGCTCTCAATGCAAACTTTCCCGTGGCAAAGGTTGTAAAGAGAGCGGAAGACTTCACAGATGCCGTTGCGCCGGTGAAGATCAGTGTTGGTGGATGAGGAAGATTAGTGCTTGCTGATAGAAGAGGAAGGGTTGACTGGGAGAAAAGGAATGCCCCACGACTGTCATAAGCGTTAGCAGTTGTATCTATCAACAAGGCATGAAGACCCAAACCCGTTCACGGCCCAAGTTCCATCCCATTCCTCCAAGGTAACTTCCAAAAATGGCTTTCTGACAAGTCCACCTGCAGCATTGAAGATTGCAGCAGCTACCGGCGTATCCGCATGGTTAGACTTGATTTGTGCAAATGCATCCTTCACACTTTTTTCGTTCGAGATGTCGGTGGGGATTCCGTAGGCTTGTCCGCCGTTTGATTTGATCTCCGAAACAACTGAATCAAAGGACGAGGCAGTGCGAGATAGAAGGACCACAGTGTATTCGCGGGCGAATTTTAGAGCGACTGCGGCACCGGTTCCTGGTCCTACACCGGCTATGATAGCAAGGGGCTTGATGGCGGCCATTGCAGACGATGATTGTGTAAGTGGTAAAATAAGTTGCAACTGTGAACGTCAGATATGTATGTATGATATTGTACCGAGAATAAGCTATAAGCACCGTGGGAATGTGAGGTATAAATAAGGATTTGGTATTCTGATTATGGAAGATCACTTGAATTGCATCAATATCTATAATATTATAGAATAGTACAGTGCGAGCTGGCGATAATTTGTCGCGCAATTGCTTTGAAATTCACAATGACGCAATTGACATTGTAGATGAGGCTCCTCTATAATCGGCCAGGATCACTAAACCTGCATGCCTCGGCCGAGAAAGAATATAATTACATGTATGTATGCATATAAGTAATCTGTACCTTTTTGCTTCATAATCTCAAAGAATATTCCGGTCAGAAATCTCATGTAGTACTGTATGGCGACGACTTTGCATTATTACCATATCGGGTTGTTTGGTACATAGGACCATCTTACGCTGTGACATGAAGTATCACTCACCCTTGTCATTTCTCGAGTGCTTAGATAATCTTGCACTACAAGAAAAATACATCGCATAATCTATCACTCGACTTGCAATTATTGTAGGACAATGCGTGTACATACGTTTCTTAATCAAAGTACATGCTTGTTACGTACTTTTCTTAGACAGGTGTTATTTTCACCTGTGTACCTTCGGATAACTAAAATTCTGTGTCCACAATCACGTACCTCAACCCCAATCCCGGCCCGACTAACCCAGCCTGCCCAAACTTCAACCGATATTTTTGTATACCTCTGGAAGGTGGGGAAATACAACTCTTTCTCAGATAACCTCCCTCCACAACAAATCACATTCCCCTTTACTCTCGCTGGCTCGAGAGGTATATCGACCTTTTCCCCACCACATTGTTTGAATTGGCTACATAAACCTCATAATTTCGACCATTCTCTTGCAATTCGAGCACTGAAGGATGTATACGTATTCTAATATGCTCAAGGTAGCTGATTCTTCCTCAAGCCCTTTCTTCCATTCCCATGACCGTTCTCGCAGCGTGCCTCCTGACAAATACTGTGAATCTGCTCATGAGCAGGGATGTCTCGGGAAAAAATACCATGGGAAAAAACAACTTGAAGATGATGAAGGGAATTCCCCCTCAAATAAGACAATTATCGCAATTTGTCCCAACTGTGGCTACCAGGGGAAAAGCACGTCAGCTGCAGCTACCATCACGAGAAGAGCTTCAGCACACATAAAAACCAGACCTACCTCCTTCTCATTGCCAACAGGGCTTAACCCTTCCATACTTCTGGACAATTCACCCACACCTCAAATATTGCTCTCCGACAGTAATATTGTGGTATACGCAAACAGATCAGCAACACGTTTACTGGGGCGTAATCCTCTAACCGATTTAGGTGACCCCACCTTCCATCCCCCGCCTATTATTCCTGCCACTCGTCCAACCGGTAGGAAACCCTCGTTTTCATCAACAGGCTCTCGGGGAATATATGAACACGATGAAGGAATTGAGGGCTTTCATCTAGAGGATTTACCAATGGATTTGGCAAGAGTTGATATGCGAAAATGGATCTCACTTGTCCAGGTACTCAAGACTGTGAAGGGAAAGATCCGGAAGCAAACCCAGCTAGATAAATATGGCTACGATTCTGGCGCTTACTCGGAATTCTATGATACAGGCAAGAAAGAGGATGATTACTCTGGAGACAATGAGATTGATCATGACAATAGCGAAGATTTGAGAAGAATTGATGAGTTTTCACGCAAGGAAAAAATCCCGATAATTATTACTAAACAGGATGGGGAGCTACTTGGAGGTGAATTATATATGTCTATACTCGAGACCACTAACAATCCCACAAACTCGGGAGTATTCATAGCTTTGTCCATTGTCCCAAACTCAGATGATGTCGACGCCGAATTTAATCCTGCCTTAAGAAGGACAAGCCGGAAGCCATCGGCAAAACAAAGCGTTGCTGCTGGAACAACTGGAACGGATGTTGTTGAGAGAGTGGCTAAGTTAAAAGATATGATTCTTGATGAGATGGAGTATTCGTTTGCATGTATTACTCCAGACGGGGACATCTGCATTACGAACAAAGCGTGCCGGAGGGTGCTAGGCCATGATATGATGTCGCCTGTTGGGTTTGTCATCTCTCTATCAATTTAAATTTCTAATTTACACAAATTAAGAGTCTGACCGAGTTAGAAGTCAGGGATGGGATTGGATCTCCCACTTAGACGTTTGGCGTCCCGACTTTTCTGAGCGCTTGCCCTATGACGAATGGTGTACCAACAAG